CTTAAATATTTGGAATAATCCTTTCTACTCACGGACTGTATACTATCCAGGTACAGGGTATGCTCATTCCATACTTACCAGGCATTCTAGCATCACATACAAAACACAAAGTACCATTTCATGTGTTGCTGCGTTCACATAAATACCAAGTAACTAAGAAAGGAGGATATAGACAGATGCTAGCTTGCTGGCAAGAGAACTCAAACACTGAGTCTAGAACTGAACTGGTTTAACAAACGTGGATCGCAAATCTCCTGCCAGCGACTCCCCAGGAGACGTACTCTCTTAGAGACAGATTAGAGGGAACCATCTCTCCTTGAGACGCTAGGGCTAGAGAAGCAGGACAGGCGGTGATGCTCAAAACTGAGGATTACAAAGGCTGCCCAGTGCCAGTCCACAGGGGGTTAGAGCCCAGAGGCATAGGCCTCCAAACTGAGGGCCTAGGCCCAGGTATCCCCAGCCTCTAAAGAACTGAAGCAGTCAATCTCACAGTCCACTCATCCCTCCCTAGGGCTGTGGCACTTGCCAGGACCGTCCAGCACTGGCAGAAGTTTTCCTGTCCTGCACACAGTCCCTCCAGGTAGAACCAAAGGACCTCAGGCAGGAAGCTGATAGAACCTTAGGTTTAAAGGGTTCTTTAAAATTCATAAATCTCTCGCAGTGCATAGAACAGAAGCACAAATGCCCTGAAATGTCAAATAGGGAAAGACAATTTCTGGTTGGGGGGATCAGATAGGTGACATGAAAAAGACATAATGGGATGTCCTGAAGAATGGTATATTGGGGTAGCAGGAAGGTGCGGGAGTCACAAGTCTTTATCACCTCTTTTTTTTCTAACTTCCAATTTTCTATTTTTTTTATTTCATTTGTTTGTTTGCTTGAGGTACCAGGGATTGAACCCAGGACTTGGTGCACATGCCAGGCATGCATCTCAGCTATGTTCCTCGGCCCATTCTGCATTTATTTTGAGGTAGGTTCTTTACTAAATTACCCAGGTTAGCTTCGAACTCACTCCAAAGCTTAGGTTGGACTTGAACTTGTGACTCTCCTGCCCCAGTAGCTGGGATTAAAGACCTGGGCTTGGAGCCCAGTTCCATCTCCTTTCCTTACTTCCTTAGGACACGGAGCCAACCCACATCCCTGATATTTAACCAACCTGCTTCCCACAGACATGTCCATCTCTCCCAGCCATCCCTCCACTTGTAAAAAAAGATCATTGTATCTTGAAAAATACAAAAATATATAAAAGAAAAAGGAGAAATGACAGTGAATAGCATCACTTCCCTTCTCTTGGTTCAGTTAAGCTATCCTCTAGAAATGAGTTATCATAATTTGGCACAGAGTCCAAACAAAAGGGGATTCCTTGAAATGGGATCTCACTACGTAATCTTGGCCAGCCTGGAGCTTGCTGTGTACACAAGGCTGGCCTTGCATTCATAGTTCAGCTGCCTTTTCCTCCTCAGTGTTGGGAGTACAGGGTATGCCACTACATGGTTGCTTTAAAAAAAAAGCTGGTGCCAGATAGATAGAAAGATAGACAGACAGATAGACTGGTTAATTTTGGAGTAATACACTCATTAGTAGATTAAAATGGTACAATGTGTATTACTTGTGACATATTTCTTTAATATAGGGTATCTTTTTAGGACAGTATCAAAAGGAAACTTCACTGGGTCCTCTCACACCCCTTCTAAATTCATAAGTGAGAAGATAACAAATAATTTTTTTTGTCTAAGACCATTTAGAAGAGAGCATCTTGTCTGTTTAGACCTACCCTGTTAAAAGCAGAAGTCAATAAACATGGCTCGCCCTTCACATTGAAATGAATTAAAACTAAGTTACAAATTCAATTCCAAGGTCACAGTAGCCACATTTCAAGTATTCAATAGCCTTACGTGACTGGTAACTACTGCATTGGACATCACAGACACAGACCTTTCCCACCCCTGCAGAAAGCTCCTAGGAGCTGAACTCACAAACTATCAGCCTGGAATTATTATCTCGCTTGGCTGCTGATATTGGAGCTCACCATTCAGAATACATGGGTGAAACTGAGATGAAAAATGAAGGCCACCCCAATCCAAAGGCTCCCTCTGTTCCAACACAAACATGGTCCAGTAGTTACGCTGAACCCATAATGTCTCCAGCTATTTCAGAAGGAGGACCAGACGGCAGAGGGCATCAGCCTCCCAGAGACCCTGCACTGCAGCTGCTTGCTGTGCCCATCCCCCATGACAAAGAATGTCTCTGTTCTTTTACTGTGTGTTCCACCAGTTTTAAGTCACAGGCTTGAATTCTATATTCTACTCATATATGATTCTAGAATAGTCTTCAATCAAATGCAACTAAACTCCATGGATGTACCAGGTCTTTTTTAACCATAAACTGTGAGCCACTCAAGCTACTTCTGGCATTTGGCTTTCCTAAATATCACTGTTATAAATGTTGACATATGGAAACCTTTCCTATTATTCTGGATGAAAATCTACAGGACACAAGGCAAGAAATTATTTTGCTGAGTCACAAGGCTTAGACCAATGTACTGTCTTCAGAGGGCAAAGGCCCTCTTGGCCATGCTAGTCCCACTGGTACTGGTGTATATTATCCATCTTATTAATTTTGGCCAATATGATAGCTTCCCCATGCTATTGCTTCATCATTAGTGTTGCCAAGGATCTATTTACATGCTAATTGGCTGTTTGAAGATCCATTAAATTGTCTTTACATAGCCTTTTTATGCACTTGGCCATGTTACTTTTGTAGACTGGTTTGTCTTTGGCTGATTGATTGGTAAGAATCATTAGTTTATCGCTGCTTTCTTTCATTTTATGTGCACTAAATATCTATCTCTCTCAAACCAACCCCGCCCGCCCGCTCAACACCCTCACTCTTTCTTTAATTTGATTTAAGATGCCTTTTTCCATTTGTATGTTTTTCTTTGGTTTTGATTTTTTTTTTTTTGAGATATGGTTTCACAGTTTTACCCAGATTGGGCTGGGACTCCCAACAATCTTCCTGAGTTTCCCCACTCTATGAGTTACAATCATCTTTCTGCATTTCCTTTGGTCCTGATGTTCTTCTATGTTATATATCAAACTGTAACCTACATGGAATTTATTTTGTGAATGATAAGATATAAGCTCCCTTATTTTCTTGTAAAATAACCAATTGTTTCAACATCATTGTATTAGTTACCTTTTGTTGCTGTGATAAAATACCTGCCTCCGCTTTAGTTACTTTTTGTTGCTGTGATAAAATAACTACCTCCGCTCCTCTTGGCTGCTGTTACATGCCTTTGGCTCTCTCCTCAGATCTCACTTTTTCCATCACACTCTGAGACCCTTCATCTTCCCTCTGATTACAATCACTGCTCTTGGCCAGACCAAACCTCAGTCAACTCGGAAACTCAGTACTGCCCCTCCCTGGCAGTCCTTCTCCCAGGCCACTGTCATCAATTCATCAACACACAAGTGCCAAGAGTCTTCATCTTTAAGGCAGAAACACAACCCTCTCTAGTCCGAAACTCTCTGCTCGCTGCCACCATTTCCTCTTGTCCTTTCCCCTCTTGGAAAACTGTCTGCCCCACCTACAGCTTCTCTTCCCTCTTCAAGATTCAATAATTAAACCCCTCCCAGCTAAGCTTTGCTCCCCACCACTCCTCGAAATTTGTGGTCACCACTAACCTCCATGCTTGCCCGAAATGACAGACTGCTTGATGGTCAACCCCTAGCAGCATTTTCCAACACGGCCTACAGCCTACTAGTCTGTTGTTACGACAACTTCCCTTGGCCTCAGGGACACTCAGCTCTTACTGTTTTTCACACTGCTGCACTCGGGTCAGTTCAGTCCCAGAAGACTCCTGCCCTTTCTAACAAACTTTCTATGTGGTCCCATCCATCCCCATTCCTTTAAACACCTTACAGACTCTTAATTTTTCTTATCTCCATGCTCAACCTCAGCTCTGCTCTCAAACTCATATGTACATCACTTATATCACATATACAATCACTTAGATATCTAATCAGCACATCGACATAACATATCCAAGATCAAAACACAACCAAACAAGGGGCTGGAGAGGTGGCTCAGCTGTTCCGAGCACTTGTTCGTGCAGAGGACCCAGGATCAGTTCCTAGCACCCACATAGAGAGGACCCAGGATCAGTTCCTAGCACCCACATGGAGGTTCACAGGTGTCTGTAACTTCAGTTTCAGGGAATAAGATCGAGCTTCTGACCTCTCTGGAGTCCTGGATGTGTGTGGTGCACAAATATAGACTCAAGCACACACACATACACACAAAATAAAATAAAATACTTTCAGACCCACACAACAAATGACAGAACCCACCCATTCTATCACCACTGCAGCTGACTACTCTCTCGTTCTTGCCTCGGGTACCCTGGAAGCCTTCTGACATTGTCTACTCTGATCATGCCACGTTCTCCCTGCCTCTATTTTACTCCCCTCAAGTAGTTCTCAGTCCTTTAAAACTACTAATCAGACGAAAAATGTTTCCTCGAGCTTTTCCAATGGCTCCCCACATGCAAAACTGAACCCCGGTCCATCTATCTGTCATCTTAGCTCTGCCTCGCCATCCAAACTCACCCCTGGCCACTACTGCAGCACTTTTCCAACAAAAATGAATTGACTTTACAAGGTAATTAAACTATCATCTGTATAAGTTGGTAAGAAAATTGCCTCTGTGGTAATTAAATATGTATAAGTTAATAAGAAAATATGCACATCAAACTGATTTCCACTCCATGATCTTTGTTTCTGCTCCTTCCTCTGTTGACGCACTGACGCACACAGACTTCTGCACAGCTAAACAGTTGTCCTCAAATTGCTTTTTATCCCCACGATCTAAATTCTTGTCTAACACAGCATTGTTGAAGACACAAGCAAAAACATGTTCTCATATGAAATTGTTATGCATTTGACAAACATTTTAGCTTAATGAACACACAAAGGGCAAGGTGATCTTTGGGTGCCACTCACTTTCCGTTGTTTTGTGGAGTCCAATTTTATGAGCCAATATGAAGCCACTTTTGTTTTATAATGCTTCCAGTTATCCATGATCTGTTGAGGAAGAGATGTTAACAAATTTAATCCAGAATGGTCACCAAAAGCAGTAGATAGATGTGTTAGTGCACATTCTATTAATTTGTGCAGTGAAAGCACCCGGAGACTATTTATAATAAAAACTCCACCATTCATAAAAAAGATACTTGGGAAGACTTAAGCAAGCCAGAGATTCTAAATTCAAAGCCTTTTCTTCCTCTTCTCTAAGAATAGTATCACTCAATGAATAAAAGTCAGAAATCTGTAGACACACACATCTTAAGTAGAAATCCAACCCATAGATTTTTCATCTTGCTATGTTACCCACATAGTAATAGAATATTAAAGAATACATTAAAAGTCAGCCTACATTCAGTTAGGATTCTACTAACCCTTTCTTTGCATTACCTGTATATCTATATAATTTCTCAATATATATTCTAGTAATACATATTGCAGCAAACACTCAAGTCTGGAAAACAGACATGCAGCAAAGAATCTAGTGTCTGATACTAATTATTATGTTTCATTAATTGTATAAGCCTAACAGTCTTCTTTATAGGAGAATCACATTAGTCACCAATATTAGTTCTACTCTCTCATTTTCTAATTAAAAAAATAAACCTTAACGGGGCTGCAGTGACAGCCCAGTGGTTACACTTGCTCTTCTTGAAGAGGACCTGGGTTTAATTCTCAGCACCCATTTGGTAGCGCATAACTGTAACTCCTGTTCTAGGGCATCTGGTGCCTTCTTTGACCTCTGAGAAGTGGGCACACAGGTGGTGCACATAGATACATGGAAGCAAAATACTCATACAAATAAAATGAATAAATTTTAAAAGAAAATGGATCATAAAAACAGACAGAAAACAATGTATCTAGTGCAAAGTTACTGGCTTTTCTTAAAAATAAACAAGATATGTGGAAGTTTATCCAGCTGGTGATGCAGTGCGGTGGGCAGAGGCCTGCTGCCACGTGTGGTCACTGGAATTCAGTCCCTGGGGCATGCACGATGGTAGGAGACAACTGACTCTCTCAGAGTTGTCTTCTGGCCTCCACATGTACACCATGGCATGTGTCCACTCACACACATGCACACAAGAACAAGAAATAAGTGTGATTTAAAACTGTAAAGCATATCTAGCACAATGCCTTATACTCAATCTAAAGTTTCTTTTGCTGTAACTAGTAGTAGCTCTCCCACGAACAACATACTGCTCCCACTTTTTGAAAAACCATATCACCACAAAATGCAAAACATTTGGATACTTCCACTATAATTATCTACTAACAAAATTACGATGCCGTTATGGATTTTTTTCAGCAAGAAAACTTTTTCTTGTTTTGCTGTTGTTTCTGTATACACTTGCTTCATACTTGCTTCATAAAGCCCTGCGAACCGCAAAGGACCCAGTGCAAGCTGCGGTTTTTATTCTTCATATGACCACTAGATGGTGCCATGTCTTCTGGGGAAGAAGGAAAAAAAAAATCACACCCTCCCACACCTACTCTAAACAGCGTTCTCCGGCTGATGAATGATCTAAGAATGGCCGTTTAGAACGTATATTGGATGGACAAGAGAAACCTTGAGTGAAGAACTGTTCTTCCACCAAAATCGTTTCAGTAGCCTCGGATTTCTTTCTAAGTTAGGAGCTGAGCCTCTAAACCTCTGCCGTTTCCAAAGTCTCCACTGGGTGGCGGAAGTGAAAATAACAGCCAGACTGTTTCAACGCTTGAGATTTCGGGCACCACCTACCAGGGTGCGACTATCATATTTCTTCTCACCTCAGACTTCTGCAACTTAGCAAGCTTTTATATAGAAAAGTTTATCCTTATTTTTGATCATGAAGAACAGTTATTATTTGATGTTAATTATTCTCACTTGACAGCCTTACTATATGACAAAATGTTCCCAATAACTAAAATGAATTCTTCTATTTTATAAAGTTTCTGGGGGCTAAAAGGCACATCGATTACATTTCCTATGCAGTTAAGTACAATTCAACCAGAAAATACATTTTTGTGTAGATGTATGGGAGTCATGTGTCCAGTGCACATGTATGCCAGAGTGTGTCCATGCTTGGCGTGCACATGCATACCCGTGGATGGCAGAGGCCAGTCTTGGATGCCTTTCCTCAAGTAGCAGTTATCTTGAGTTTGTGACATCCAATCTCTCACTGGGACCTGGAGCTCACCAGGTACCCTGGGGTAGCTGCCATCAAATCCCAGGAATCCCCCTGTCTCTGCCTTCTGCTTCCCAGTGCTGAGATTACAGGTGCTTGCCACCATGCCAGGTTCTTATGTACATGCTGGGGATCCAGCTCAAGACCTCATCCCAGCAAGCACTTTACCGACGGATACCAGCTCCCCAGTCCCAGGAAATACATTTTGATGCTCTTTGGATTGTATAGGCATCAGATACTCACATCTTCTATCAGAAGCTCTGACTCTGCGTCTGACTTCCCTGGAAAGCGGATCCTCATGTCCTTGAGAACAAACAAGGTCTGACTTGTGAGGTCATCTTCCTGTTCTTTTGTTTTCAATTGCCGCAAAGACTCATTCTTAAATTTGAAAAAATACAGATATGTGGAGGGATCTTACTTCATTGTGCCAGTATAATTTAAAAGATATTTCTAGGTAAAAAATTATGCACTTTTAATTTTTTAAAATGGACATTTGCAAATTTTTAGCATTAAATTGGTTATTATTTGCAAAGGTATTTTTTATATTTCCTCCTGGTTGTATTTTATCTTGCTCAAGATATAAATACTAAATATGAATATTTAAAAAAGGCTTGGTTTTACAATGTTTTAATGGCATCTATAGACACAAGCACATTTATTGTATGGAAAATATCTCTTAAGAATCTAGATGAATAGTTTAAATACTGATAATTCTACTTATAGAGCCTAGGTACAGTGATGTTTAGAACGCTTTCTGGTATACTAAATTAACATCGCATCCCCTTTTCAGCATAAACCGTAGAAACTTACAATTGAGAAAGTCTGTGGGCTTTATTATATTTTCCTGGAGCTAGACCAGAGATTTATTTAAAGTCTCTGTTTCATTAACACTGATGTTCCCAATGGTAAAAACAATATTATTCTCCTGCATCAGGAAATGGAAAATAAAGCAATGCTTCTTCCTATCTGTCCTTGAGGTCTGTGACATGGTGAAGCTTGCCTTTTAGGAGTCCACACTAAACTGGGGTCCAGGGTATGTGAACAATGTGAACAATGCAGTTTCCAAAGGTCATGAGTGGAAATGTTGAAGGGCCAGGAGTTCCACTCGTCATCCCCTCAGCTGATCCCTTTGCCACCTACATTCTGAGTATGGTGTTTTCTGCAACCTTGAAAGGGCACAACCGATCGAGAGCTTACCACCACAGAGTTGGTAGAGCTGGCATCGTTACTGTTAGGCAGGTGTCTCATGTAGGGGGAAGCACGGTTTAAGGAATGTGACCGAGATGCTGAAGTTGGTCGCGCTAATGGTATCACTTGTTGAGAAGAAAAGGGGCGTGCATCCCCACTGGAAGGTAAGTGAGCAGAGATGGACCGAGGGCAGCTGACCGAACGCCTCATGGAATCTATCGATGATGGAGAAGTGGTGCTGTTAGTACACTTTTCTCCCTATTAGGTCTCCACAGACTAATTTAGACCAGGTGGTGGCTGGATAACAAATGTCAAAGCCTAGACACCATCACAAGAAGAGAAGTCTGGAATTAATTCTTCAATTTGAACAGCGCACTTGGTACAAAACAGTTCTGGTATATGAAGAACGGTTGTGCTGAGGAATACTGCAAACAGGACTTCAATTCTAAGTTCTTAAAGTGAGACATTAGAGAAACAAGGAAGGGGACACGCACTCATGAGGTACTTGTGAGCCTGGCATCCTGCAAGGTGTGTGTGTGTGTGTGTGTGTGTGTGTGTGTGTGTGTGTGTTCATGTATGTGAATGCTGGAACACACATGCCATAGCACACATAGCTAGTTCAGAGGAAAACTTCAGTTTTTGGTCCTCGCCTTCAGCTTTGTTTGAAACAAGGTCTTCTCCTCATTCATCATTCACGGCTGTAGATGCAAGACTAGCTGTCACTACCCCCCCACACAGAGTACAGGTATTCTTCTGGCTTCATCTTGCCAGAGAAGCTCGGGATTACTGGGATTCCGGACAAGCTACCGCACCTGGCATTATCTGGGTTCTGGGAACTTGAACTCAGGTCCTCACACTTGCACAGCAACCAGTTAACCCACTGAGCCATCCCTCCAGCCAGGAGAAGGGATTTGTCTGTTTTCTAGAACAACAGAAAAAGAACCTTCCCAAAGGCCCACTGCAAGATGGTGGCCAAGGTCAGCCACCACCTAAAGTCCTCACTATTGAATGCTAAAAGTCTCCACTTCTCTATAATGCCACAATTATCTACTAACCTTGGGTGAAATTGGCTATTAGAGTCTCTGTGTAAGTTGGAGATTTTACATTTTACATCAAGGATCACAGGAGAGAAGGAAAGGAAAGCAGAGAATGATCAGGGTAAACAGATAAGTTATAGAATCCAAGGCCCCTGACAAAAGTCACAAAACAGCAGAATAATACAGAGTATTCTAATATAATTTAAATATAATTGGCTAGTAAAGGAGCTGTAGCAAACTGATGGTCTGTTCTCTCTCTCTCTCTCTCTCTCTCTCTCTCTCTCTCTCTCTCTCTCTCTCTCTCACACACACACACACACACACACACACACACACACACACACATACACACAAGAATTTCAACAACAAAAGATTTAAGTGAAGAAAAAATGAAGTCAAAGAGTAGGACTGTCATCAGAATAAATCTCTAAGGAAACCATCAAATATCTGCCTCTGTGCATTCTGGGAACTCTGATGAAAGAGAAGCAAGTGGCTTTGGGAAGCTGTGGCTCCTGACCTGGAAAAAGATAATTGCTCAACACCATCAGCATTTTTATCTTTTCTTCGGCTCATTTGTCCTGCAGATCCTCTATCCTGGATTTGTTCTCTGCTTGGAGAATATATCAATCTTCATTAATCAAATAATTTAATAAAACTCACATGAAGCCAGGTTGCATACCCAAATATCTCTCTTCATCGGCTGTTGAAAAGAATTCAAAGCTTCATAAAGGTGATGGATATAAATGGTAGGTTTAGGGGCACACTTCTAAAACATACTGTGAGCATGCGGTAAATGTAGTACTGAGAGCATAAAAATACACACTCATTCAAGCTTTATAAGATGCTGTTTAAAAACAAGATAAAAACTTCTGTTTGTTGCAAGTATTAACTTCCTTCTGTACCTGTGACATACAGCATTTTTTAACAGCACACTATATTGGAACATAAAACTGGTCAATATAACTTTAAAAAATATCTGTTACAAAGATCACATATTTAATATACAACAATAATACAAATGTCATGTCTACCAAAAAAAAAAAGAATTCTAAACCATTTGTTTCAAGCTACACTGTAGGTCTACCGTCTTTCCAAGCCTAAGGTAAGAACTGAATAAGTAAAACCTGCTCATGGGTCAGAAGGAAAACATCATCTCGAATAAGCTCAGATTCTCACTTTTCACCTACATATCTGGAAATTCAGACAAGAAAACTAAAGCAGTTTGATATTCTGGTGGTAGATTAGGAAACACAGTTGTGACTTCCATCTATAAAGTCTTTTGTATTGTTTCTGAGGCTATAACAATACCCTAAATCCATTGTCTATACAAGAAAGTGTTACTCATGATCTGGATTTTGTCCTTGGTCATCAATTTATGGAGGCTTTGTGGCTATGAGGCTCCTAGTGTAAGATTAAAGAGAGAATACGAAACAAAGTGAAGCCCATGTTATAATCCCTGCCTAAACATACAATAATAAAATACTTAAGTGAATTAGACTGACTTAAAATGAAAATTCCCACATCAAAATATGTTTTAATTCTATATCCTACTTTATTATACTACTATCTGATCTCGGTTCTTTAGCCTATTGGTCCCAGAGCATAGAACAATCTCAGAGCTGTAAAACTCTACGGATATTTTCTCTCCCTGACCCATAACCCTCATCAGTTCATGCTATTAAGTAATAGTCACATTAGCTAGCAAGCAAGAGATCTAAAACCCAGCAAAATTTGGACATAAAAATGTCAGCTTCCAGAATAAAAACAGAGTTATATTTATCCAGAGACACACTTACAGAACCCTCAAGGAAAAGAAGCGAAGGCGTATAATAGCTAGCAATTGCTGGTACTTAGAAATATCAATCAATAAGATGAAACACAGTACATTGTTTCCCCTCCAAATACACAAACCTTCCATGACAAGAGCAGTGGGGGCATGTAGCTTTATGAAATGTTTGGGAAAAAAAACAAAGTGTTGTTTCTCTGAATTCTTCATTTATTAGTTCTTCATTCCTTGGGCACTTTACTACAAGCCTCCAAGGCCAGTTTTAAAACACATTATCAGGACCCAAATACATGAAACATTGCTGGAGATCAGACCTGCAAAGGCTCCCGCTGTGTCTGCTGCAGTGCGAGCTGGCTGCTGTGGTAGGACCTCGGGCCACTGTGTGCTGTGCATGGCTGTGGGACATGGGTGTTAAGACAGGGGTCCTAGTTCAGAGGCAACAGCAAGAAGGTGTTTTTCAAGGAAGTGGGGGAAGCGGAGATATAGGTTCCATATTTGAGGGTGAGCGGCAAATCAGAGGCCAGATCATGGACATTTGGGATTGAAGGAAGGAAAGAAAGAAAAAGAGAGAGTGTGTGAAGATAATTAGAGGGAGAGAGAAGAGGTTGCTTTCCTAAATACCTGTGATGTGCCCAAAGTCCTGATTAAGTGCTTACCCGGGATGAAATTGAGGAGCAAAATTTTAACTACTTCACAGTTCTGTGACTCACAGACACATCAAGTCAAATGCCTAGAGAGGTAGGCACAAGTTTAAAATTAGGAGTCAGTGCCAAACAAAGTAGGTGGTAGGTAGAAACTGAAGCAGAGATGATGTGGACCTCAAGGAGAACACATTCTGCCTAAAAGCTTTGTTGAACATCTACAAAACCCAGGCCACAACTTAGCATACAAACTATGGAAGAGAGAAGAAAGGATCCTCAATTTAATCCGTTTCCTGCTTGCAGAAATTGAGAGGGGTTGAGGAACCGACCGGGCTCTGGCCAGGGAAAGGCAGGGGATAGAAGACAGGTCCCCTCACACATGACAACACTTATTTTGGCCCAAGGACTTTTTATTGAGTTCGAGAGTTTCAGTTCTATAGCTCTTCGTGTACCAACATAGGAGAGATTCACTTACTGGATTGTTGAATTAGTTTGCAGTGACTGGTGTGTTTAAGGGTATACGGGGCTTGTTCTCGTCTCTTCTGACACAGTTCTTTTTCATTCTCATCCACTTCGGAATTGCTGCTGCTGCTGCTGCTGTCATAGCTGCTTTCGCTGCTGTTGTAACACTTCTGCTTCTTCATTACCTCCGCATACTCAGGCATGCAGCACAGGGGCTGAAACAGAGTGGCAGACCATTTGGTTAGAATCCCCCCATGCTTGCTGCTTACTGGTGAATATGGAAGTCCCTCTCTACTGCCTGGTACTTTTTAGCCAGTAGAGCACACACTAGCTGGGAGGCTTCCTTGAATACTCCTCCTCCAATTATATGGCTAAGTCTTGATGAGGACAATGCTGTCTCTATATGACTGCAATAAAAAAAATAGTTTCTGTAAACAAAGGACAACAAAGTGAGGGGAAATATCTGACCTAATAAATATAAATATAAACATAAACAGCTTTTATTCATTCTACTCAGAGAGATTAGGCATCAAGAGTCACCCAATAAAAAGTGAGTGGAGATGGAGAGGGAGGAGGAGAGGCAGGAAGGACAAAGAGACTAGGAAAGCAAAAACAAGAAAAGCCATTAGAGGTAAGATCATGCACTCAAGCCTGTGGTGGTGGTGCACACCTTTAATCCCAGCACCCAGGAGGCAGAGGCAGGCGGATCTCTGTGAGTTAGAGGACAACCTGGTCTACAAGGACAGTTCCAGTACAGCCAGGATGGTTATGCAGAGAAATTCTGTCTCAAAAAACAAAAACAAAGGAAACAAAACAGAAATAAATAAATAAATGAAAAGGTGGTTATGGGATCATGCACTCAAACAGAGGGCAAGAATCTATGCACTCAGATAATGTTCAGGAAGTAAGGCATTGCTCATATGACTAGTTCACAGTTATTATTTATTCATTCATTTATTTATTTTACTTGGAATTGAGCCCAAGGCCAGTCTCATCAAAATCTTTAATATATTTGGAAAAATAAACATTTTATTAAATTTGTTATGGTTGACTTGTGACCCTCCATGGAGGATCTCTAACTTTGACACAGTCTGGCCACAGTGGACGCACACTGCTTTTTATCATCAATGTGATATCCTACAACATGATATATGAAAATCAGTATGGTCTGAAACTTTTTGGAAAAAGAGTGACTCTGTACAGTTCTGATTATCATGTTATTATGCCCTACAATTTCTAATAGAATCAACCTACTTCCACTCCTCATGATAGATAAAGACACCAGGTGAAGGGACAGGGAGAGAGATGAGATGGCCTCACTTCAGAAAGAATGTGTATGACGGACAGCAAGACAGGTCTGTGACTCAGTTATTTCAAGTGCTTGTTACACACACCATACACCTCCTGTTCCTGCTGAGACAGGCTGCTGCAGTTGTATGCTAGTGGCTTTGATGTTATTGTATATCATAATGAATTCCTTGGATGTCGTGGGAGTTTATGGAAAGAAACTATGTCCCTCCAGTGTGACAGTGTAGGATGAGAGAAGGAAGGGAGAAACATTCCAAAAAGCATATGGAATACAAAGCAAGCCAAAGAATGATGATGTTAGAGTTACAATTTGTGAAAAAAAAAAAAACTGAAATACAGCTGAAGTGGGAAAGGAACTGAATACACTAGGTACCAACTTGTCTTTAAACATATGCTCTCCTTTTGATGGTCTAATATTTACAGAGTACTAAAAATGTTCAAACAGAAATGCATAAAAACATTTGCCAGTAACACAGTCATCAAACACACCGACAACCTTGGCAAACATGAACTCTAGAGAAAAGATGTCTCTTCAGAAGTTTAGCTACCCCGAAGGAACAGCGGCATGAACAGGCTTGCAGGAGTGTCTTCCTTCAAGGTGCACACAGACTTAAGCTTTCCCAAAGACACTGCCTACATGATTGTTTAACCCTGTAAAGAAATCCCAGAGGAAGTGGACAGCTGAACCTTTGTGTCCTGCAAGCACTTAGGACTTTTTGATCAACATACTGTTCAAGCAATAAGTAAATAGGAGTCATAGCAATACAAAACCCCCAGTATTAGATGGGATTTCAAAAGTGCCATGACATCACAACACAAATCATGCTACTTAATTTTATTTATAGTTTTATTGTGAAATGGGGCAGATATAAAAATACATAAATGTATAGCTAAAACAAACACATGTGTTCCAGCTTAAGAACATTGCTAATGCTTTATGTAGCACTTATTTTGTGGCTAATTAACAGTCCTTAAATTTTCAAATAAGTGAGATGCTACTATTCATCCTAGTATAAAGTTGATTTAACAAAGGACCTTTCAAATTATTCTTTTACTAATGAAGACCTTGGTGACAGATGTTCACCATGAAGCACTTTTCTGAAATGGAAGTTCTCTTTAGAAGTTTGGGTCACTTTAGACATCTTGATAAAACTTAAATAAAAACTATAGATACACTTCTACATTAATTATGCTGTTCTCATCTACTTAGAAATGCTGCTGATTTTAACAATTAAAGAATTAATTAGGGAATTATCCAATCCATTTCATTTCAGCAAATACACTGTTAACATCTTCTGTTGAACTCAGATGACAGAAGTTGGAAAATACACAGCTTGAGTTCTTCCCTGGGATCCATCACACTTTCCTTTGGGTGGCAAATCTATGTAAGTAAAATGAAGGAAAATATAGAATGCCTCAGGGCCTTTGCACATGCCTTTCCACCATGGAGTTGTGTCCCCAGATCGTCTCAAGTTGGTTTTGGCAAACTGTAATGATTGTTTTGCAAAGCTTAGGAACTCCAGTGGTACAGCTGGTTGGTGCATGGTATTTATAAGGTATTCAGAGCTTAAAAACTCCTCAAATGTTTCCTCAAATGGAGCCATGATTCATAAGGGCATTCACGTTTCCAGATAATCTAAATATATTTGTTTCACAGGAATTTTCAGCTTTCAGAGTAATGTCTGACATCTGAGGTCTCCACACATGTACCCCTTGCCAGGCTTACCTTGCATTATTTTCATTTGCTCTTCCTAAAGCCACAAACTTTCACACTTCCACCACACATGACATAGTATCACAACTACAAGGCTTTGCCTTGAATGTCCTTCTTAACCTAAATAGGCAGGGCTCATTTTGTAACTCCAGTTCAAATGGAAATACCTCCAGAAAGCTGTCTTTCATCAACCCTTTCAATTTACACTCTATTTCAATACTCACCACACACACTTTGCTTTGACAAATATCTATCTACTCTCCAACTAGCTAATGAGAACCTTTTGAGCACATTCAACAATTTTGACCAATAGATTTTGGGAACATATGATGTGTTAGAAACTCTCAGGTGCTAAAGATAAGATGAAAATCTACTTCCCACGTTCAAGGTACTCACAATCTCACACAAATAATTACTGATCACAAATGCTCTGAAATAGCATTACTTATGGGAAGGAGGTGGAAGAGGGGCTATGAAAATTAATTCAACTTCGTAGTGCCAGGGCAAGTTCACACAGAGTAGCCATGGTATAGCCTGCTTAGGAGGGAGTCTCAATCAATCTAGCAACATATCAATGAGGGCTCTTTTCTTATTTGTTTTTAGTAAACAGGTATTAAAGCATAAGAGTCTAACAAATATAAGTGTCTATAAATATAGAGACAGCTGGCCAATGTTGAAATATAAATATAAAGGGACACACTGTGGTGATAGTGTTCCCCAAAATATTGTGCACCCTAATAAACTTATCTGGGGTCAGAGAACAGAACAGCCACTAGATACAGAGGCTAGAAAATGGTGTCTCTCACACATTTAATCCTAGCCTTCTGGAGGCATGGATCTCTGTGAGTTCAAGGCCACACTGGAAATAGCCAGGCATGGTGACTCACACCTTTAATCCCAGGAAGTGATGTCAGAAAGCAGAAAGGTATCTAAGGTGTGAAGACCAGAAACTAGAAGCTTTTGGACAGGTTAAGCTTTTAGGCTTTCGAGAAGCAATTCAGCTGAGATCCATTTGGATGAGGACTCAAAGGCTTCCAGCCTGAGGAAACAGGATCAGCTGAGGAACTGACAAGGTGCGGTAGCTGTGGCTTGTTCTGCTTCTCTGATCTTCCAGCGTTGACCCCAGTACCTGGCTCCAGGTTTGTTTTTATTAATAAGAACTTTTAAGATTCCTGTTACAACACACTGACAAATGTGTCTATGATTTCTCAAATTCAACTTCTTGTTTCCCTGCTACTGAGGAATTTGTCATATATTAAACTACAGAAACAACATCACCACAAAACAGATGTTAAGTAAAGCAAACATCTGCCTCTCTTTGCCTACACAACAGCTTTTTCCATTCCTAAGTGCTGGATCTAAGGACACACTGTCAATGTCACTGTGACAGCAAAAGAAGAGCTCCCCAAGCTGGTATCAGAGATTCCTGATACCAATGCTTATTTACACACCATTCACAACGGCTATGCTATGGAGCTGGCCTAAACGTCAACAGCAGAGGAACAGACAAGGAAAATAGGGTTCACTTACACAATGAAGCTTTTCAGCCATTAGGAAGCCAAATTCATGTCATTTATAGATAAACAGATGCAACTGGAGATAGCCATGTTAAGTGAATTAAGACAATCACAGATAAATATATATTTTCTCTCAATTGTGGTTCCTGGATTTTATTAGATACATAAAACCATGTATACATATTTAATAAAAGAGTGAAAATAAAAGAGTTTAGGAAGACAAGGGAAACTAATGGAATGAGAGAAGGGCTAGAAAAGGGAGAGCAGAATCACACTAAACAGACAATGTGGACATGCACTGTAGGGAAAATAGGTAAACAAACAGACAGAAGGGCTCCCTATTAATGTGTCTGTAGAGTAACAATTTGCCTTATCTATAATCCTATATACTTCTTTGTTAAGTATTTATCTGGGGCTATAACAAAAGCCTGATGTTGAACTTAGAGCAAGGAAGTCCCCCGAACTCCAGCCTGAGTCACTAGGCATTCATTAGCACTTGGCGATGAACCACAAGTCTGAAGGAAGCCAATGAAACAAAGCTTGTGAGTGTGAGGTAGCACCATTTGCCTGGCTTTACCTTTACTGGACACAAAATTCCTGAAGCTCCTGTGCATCATAACTCTTACAGGAAATACCTAAGAGGAATCACTTGCACTTAGTGACATGGACTTTGGCATTATGGAAAGTAGGGGCATTTCACCTTTGGTCCTCGAATTCTGGTAGTTTTTCCCATCAACTTTTCATCGTCTATTTCACATTGTTCCAAGAGATCCAAAATATCTTCCTCCTTCAAAAACATCATTAAAATTATGATCACTAAACAAATATAGACTTTTTACAAGTTCATTAATTTCTGTAAGTTCTTATACAGTGATTATTCTAGAAACTATGCAGTGGTAATTACTCAGATGAGGGAAGAAGGAAACATAAAAGGCAAACTCTTCAAGAAACTTACCAAAATCTTGTGGTAAACATAATACACAGCTGAGTCTACTTGTGCAATCATCATAAGCAAGTATGTTCTTTCCACCATGCTACCGAAACTCAGAAGACCCAACTTTTACTAAATTAGCTCACTGAACCCTAAGATATGTAAAAGTCCACGCTCGTCTCCCAGACGTCATCCCAGTAATCATTCCTAAACTGATTAGTACAATTTAATATTAAAAGTGGACACAGAAAATGAAAACTGGCCTGAGAGTTTCACTTAGAAAGAGTTTAGTGTTAGAATTTGGTTAATGGGAACCATTTGATGAAGCTGCTTAGAAATATTAGTTATTGCAAGAATATTTACAGCCTTATAAAATATTTTCATTCTACAACTATTACTGGTAGAACAAATCTCTAAGTACCCCAATAGCTTTCTATTATGCTCCTCTAAATTTATTTGAAGTCAGATGTAAAAAATATGAGACTATATACCGCCATTGGAAGTTGAGCTAACCAGCACAGTTGTAGTGAGGGGTATAATCAACCATCTCATTGGGTGATTCAGGCCCAAACACTGACAAAACTATGTTCACATAGTTGTGATTTATACTTCAAAATCTCCTTGAAGTTTACTGGGAAAATAGGATTCCCAGCTCTCAGTGGAAAGGTATCCCAGTCTAGGAAGCATGGCTCTTAAAATGTCAAAAGACTCTGGCTATGATCCTACAATGGAGTATATAGACAGCATCATTACAAATGCAAAAATAATCTCAAGGAAGTTTGATTTGTTCAGAAGAAAGATCATAACAGACAATATTTTCATCCTAAAAACTCCAAATGGACTAAACAGCCACATATTTTAAAAGAGAAAGCTATAGATGAACAAAGTGTAAAGAAATTCAATTTCCAGACAGGGAGGGCTAGGTTCTTCCCTAGAGTGGAGAGGAGTGGTCACTTTCCACTTTGGGGTCATCTGTCAAATCTGGGCAGAGGTGGGTAGAGGTGAGGCTGTCATAGATAAGTTCTGCTGGGTAAAGTCTGTCACCTTGAGACATTATCAGGGTGATATATTAAGAGAGCCCACATAGAAACCTTCAGCCAGCTCTCAAGTGTGCCAACATTTTACATAATTGCCCAGACATGTGAGTGAGGCCACCTAGGCATGCTAGTCCCAGCTAAATGCAAGCATGTCTGCCCCCACACAATTCACTCCGAAGTAAGATCAGACCAGGGAATCACTCAGCTGTTACCAGTCAGGACCACACAATAAGAAGTATATAAATGTAGAGGTTTGTTATGCTACAACAGACAACTGGTAGATCTTGTACTAGGCTAAAGGGAGGGAGAAGGGGAGAAGGGATGAGGAAGGAGAAGAGAGTGGAGAAAATGGACGGGGAAAAGAAAGGAAAATAAGAGAGGTGGAAAGGGAGATGGGTAAAGGGTACAGAAGAATAGAGATGAGGGGAAATGAAACAGAAATGAAAGAGAGAGAAGTTTTTGAGACAGGGCCTTGCTCTGTAGCCCAGGCTGCTCTTAAACTCAATATACCATCCAAGCAATCCTTCTGCCTCAGTCTCCCAATTACTAGGACTGCATGCCTGTGCTACAGTACTCACCTGGCAGAGGGAATTTTAATTACTTGCTCTCATTTGCCAAGTCTATGTAGCATTAAGAAAAACTACTGCAGTATTGGCTATAATTCAAACAAGAATGTCGCAAGCCATTGGGTTACCTCAATGGATTTCTTTATCCAAATCTTATACACAAATCTGATTAGAAGACATTTTATTATAATGTAATGAAATTACAAGCAATATCAGAATTATTGGCTCAAAGTTTGTCTTGTTATGCATCTTATTTATGAAGTTGCTTGGTTTGCTCTGAAATGTGACCGCTTCTTAAGAAAAAAAGCATCAAGAACATCTTAAAGGAAAACTGTTTCTATATGTAAGGCTAAGGTGGCACCCACCCCGTGTGTTTGTGTTTGTGTGTGCATAGCTATGTGCATGTGTGTATGAGTGTGTGTGTATGTAGTGGATAGCCGTTCCAGCTTTGACCTGGAAATACCACCCCCTTTGAGGCTTCGGTAACTGTCACGCCTACAAGGTGGAGCTGAGAGAGGACCCCTGAAGACCTGAGATCCAGATGGGGGAGCGCTCTTGGTTCCTTGGTCCTGGACGCTGGAGGTAGACCGAGCAGAGTTCTCCAGAGAACACCACCGGACAGCGCTACACCTTTCCCAGACCCTGTTACCTATACCTTCACTTGTAAGTTACCCCACAAAATAAACCTCCCTTTTAACTACGCGGAGTGGCCTTAATAATTTCACCAATATGTGTGTGCATGTTTGTGTGTGTTTATGTGTATGCCTGCATGTGCATGTGTGGGTGTATGTGCATGTGTGTATGGACTGTGTGTATGTGTGCATATGAGTTCATGTGTGCTCATGTGAATATGTTTATGGGTGCGTGTGTATGTGTATGTGTGTGTGTGTGTGTGTGTGTGTGTGTGTGTGTGTGTGTGTGTGTGTGGTGCAGAAGTCAGTGGAAGTTCTGCTCTATCACTCTGCCTCATTTCCTTGAGACAAGGTCTCTCCCTGAACCTCAGCCAGGTTGGCAGACAGCAATGCCCAGGGACCTTCTTATCTCTTCCCCCTAAAGCACTGGGGTTACAGAAACCTGCGTGGTTACAACTGACTGTTTACGCAGTAGAGAGCTTTTGGAGTCAGGTCTTCCCGCTTAGACAGCAGCAGCCCCACCCACTAAGCCATCTCCTCAGCCCACGCTCTTTACTAAGGAGTCTTCTTGGGCTTGCTCCTCTTCCCTCTCTGCAAACTCCCCCTCTTACCTTCATCTTTTTCAGAGGATTGTTCAGTTCTCGCTGGAACGAAGCTGCTCTTCCTGAAAGGAATGTCTGGAATGCAACAGCCAGCAAACTTTCATACTTTTCGAGCAGTGTTTTATCTTCAGGAGGATAAATTCTCCTACAAAGAGAAAATCGGAGAAACCCATTTCCTTAAAGGAATCTAACAGAATTCAATAGTTAAGATCAGCTGTTTAGAAAAGCATTGCCCTTCCTGCTCTGAGCCAAGCAGGTGCCAGAAACAAACAAGAATGATTAAGGAGGAGTCACAAATATCCATCTGGTATACCAGTTAACATTTATGTAGAGACATTTCACTGAGCAACACAGCACTAAAAAGTATAGCATAGGGTTTGGCTGAAGAGTGCTTGAAGAATTGTGTTTGGACAGCTCGTGAAATATTGAACTTGGAGGGGAGTGTCCCGAGGACCTGGGATAATGCAGGTCTTGGTGTGTGTTGACTATGTGAGATTATAGATACTCATCTGAATGATCTCTTGAGGTGGGAAATGAAAACAGGGTAGAAGCAGACTGGGAAAAACACTTTAGCCTCTCTTTGCTACTGTGGAGGTGTTAATGCCAGGAAAGAATATCTTACAGAAGGGTAATAAAATCCCATACCCCTACCCTACCCTTTGCTAAATTCTGGGGAGGATCGTTAGGTTGGGAGGAGAGACCATCTTTCCAAGAACATTGAGGGAACCCTTTTTGTGCTTCCCAGGGGAATACTGTGAAGATCCCCCATACCCTTGTGTCCCATCTCTACCCAGACCCTTCAAATACTATCTTACTTTGCCTGGTTGTTAAGCAATTAGGCTTACAACGAAGTACAGTAATGACCAAAAACTGTCAGAAACAATACAAGAAGACCTGAATTCTGACTGTCTTTAAATACTACATAATGACCAAGTACAGTCACAGTTGGTTAAAAACCTCCCTAGACAGAGCAGAAGCCTGCTGGCAATGGCTCCCCCAAACAAAACTGTCTACTTACAGACCCCCTTTCCTCTCCTGAAACACAGTGAGTGAAAAGCTGTAGCTCACAAAAAAAAGCACTAGCAATAAAAAGCCATTGCTCAGACACCTCTTCTGTCTCTCAAACAAACAAACTAAATATAAAACAAATATTGTGGGATATTTGTACACTGCGTGAAGGTGTAGTGCTGTGATTGGTGTAATAAAAAGCTGAACAGCCAATAGCTAGGCAGGAGGTATAGGTGGGATTTCTGGGGAGAGAAAGGAAGAGGATAAGGAATCTAGGTGCGCAGGAGACACCTGAACATACAGAGAGAAAACAGGAGGTGCAACATGGAAGAGAGATGACATTGCATGATAAGATAGAGATTAATGCAAATGGGTTAATTTAAGTTATAAGAGCTGGTTAAGAACAAGCCTAAGCTATAGGCCGATCTTTTATAATTACTAAGAAGTCTCCGTGTCATTATTTGCGAGCTGGCGGCCCAAAGAAAAATCATACTACAAACGAACAGCAAGAGTCACCTGTAATTCCCCATGTGTCGGTTTTCGTGTTCTTCTCGCGAAACCTGCTTTCGTACTTGAACGAGTCTCTCTTTCTAAAAGTGAACAGATTTTATAAATACAGTGTGATGAGTCACGCAGTTCAAACAGTGGGCATGTTGTTAAATGTTCACACCAGGCTGGGGTGTAGCTGGGTGGCCGAGCACTTATGGGATCACTATGCCCCACAGTGCAAGTTAGAATAAAAATAAGCCAATACACCACACTGAGCCCAATGTCCATACCAACTCTTCTTTCCGCCTCTCGAGCTGGTGCCTCTGCTGTTCCCAGTCGGAGGAGCCTGGTGAAATCTTCTTTATTGGATTTTGACCATACAGCCTCCTTTGAGCCTCAGCTTTTTGTTTGGCCAAATTTTTCCTTTTATCACTGGTCCTAAAATGTGGAAAACAAGACCATAGCCTTCACTGCAGGAAATTTCTGATGTCGTCCCTTTGAGGAGAACTTGCAGAAGAGAAAATATGCTAAAGCAGGAACGAAATTATTAAGTCTATCTCTTGACATACATTCTGTTGGTCTGTCCGTCAAATAAGAGGACTCTGTGTGGAAGGTAGTGTTTCCGAAAATAATAAGAGATATGGAAATTCTGTATGTCTTGAAGAGTCCAAGGGACGTGGTTTCCTATTTCCATCCTGGAAATACAACTATAGTCTTTGGTGAATTAAATGCTGGATCTGTCTCCCCATCTTTTAAACCTAAGCAACATTGACTTTTTTTCTTCTCAATGTATTGTAAGACTCAATCTAGGTAATTAACAAATGTACCTCTCTTCCCTTTACCAATTTGCTTTATTTAAGCTCTCAGCTATACTGACCACTCTTTAGTATATTTCCAGTGATGACTGAAATCCTATAACTGTCATCATTTGAAGACTGACTTCACCATCCTTCTCATCTTTCTGGCTTAACTGTGAACAGTTAGCAACAGCCCTCCAGTTTTCACACAAGAAGTCGTGCTCTGGGATTATCTGCCTCTGCACCAACCCCCTTTTCTCTCTTGTCCCTCCCATGTGGAAGAGGATTCATTCTGAGGTCTCTCTTTGCCACCACGGTTGCAACAGTGTAGAATCCAGGAGAAAAGCAAAGCAAATACTGCCCTTAGCCATACAGAAATAACAAAATAAACCAGAGCCTCCATCCTCAACCTTACAAACCTCCATATATTCTGATGTCATTACTCTGACATGGAAGCTGATCAGATGCTACCTGCTCAGTTTCCAGTCAGAAGGGAAAGAGCTGCTTAAGCTACAGAAGGTCGCATGGAATTCATTAGAGATTGTATTCAAAATGTCAGGCCAAGGCTTTAATGAGCACTCCCCTGATAAAGGCCACCTTTGCAGCTCACAACATACAGAAGTGCTAGAAAACACTCATTTTCCTTCAGGACATCAGGACTTCCTTCAGTGGCTCAAGTGGGTCGAGGTTGAAATAAAAGTGATAATTTGAGAAAAATTAAAAAAAAACACATTGATCAAATTGAAAGTCATCCAATAGAGCTGGTGCTCTGAGTAAATGCAAGAAACTCAGCTGACAGCAAAGGCTTCCTGCTCCTTGGAGAGCTTCATGTATTACTTCAAGCAGTGAAGGAGGCAGGAGTCCTAGCAGGGCCTGGTCATATCTGCCTGTGTGAAAAGCCATATCCTTGGCAATGCATACAGAGCGCAGTAGCTTACAAGTAGAGGAAAAAGAGAGAGAAATCAAGACATGAATGCTATTTTATTAGCTAACATGAAGTATGAGAGTGTGATCATGGAAGCTGGGGTGGGGATGGGAAAAACTGTGAACACTGAGGAAGATTTTGAAAGAAGAATGGATGTCAACTGAGGGACCAGACAGGTTTCTGATGTCAGTGACTGGGTGACTAAGACTATCGTTGTTCCAATGACGACTACAAGTCTGGCTGAGTGTGCTCAGTGGAAATGAAATGCCAGGTCTGAGATAGCTATTACTATTACTATTATTACTGTTGTTATTATTATTACTATTATTATTATATGTTCTCGTTTTTCTAGAATGATCACTTGTATAAAGCATAGAGAGGAAAGGAAAAAACAAGAGAGAATAATAAAGACCAAACAGTAAAAGGAAGGTGGGGAACGACACAGGAGGAAGGACCTTTTTGTTTTTCTCTTTAGTGGTGTGGCCTTTTATTAGGAAAAAACACAGAGCAAAGCAGCAGAGTGCCACTGAAAAAAGCCTCAAGCATCAGAATTTCTCTATCAAATACCACGCTGGGGTGATAGTGGAGGAGCTGTCTCCAAGAAAACGACCTCTGTGCAGTTCAGCCAAGTCTACACAGGTGCTGTCTCCCAGCTTGTTTCGTCTTATAAATAATAACACTGTTATAGGCAACTTGGGAAGAAGCTTGGACTTCTCTCCTCCTGCTCCTGCCAGAACTGTAGACAAATCCATCTCCTTTTTCTAACTCTTATGTGCAGGATTTATCAGCAGGCCCAGCAAGCAAGAGCCCCTGGACTCTGCTACAGCACTAGGTCCCAAGTCGGATCACACCAGTGCTGCATGCACGGCCCTAAGGACAGGGCTAAGATAATAATGATATTTCAGTTAGAATAGTCTTTTCACATTTTGGTTTTTAGAAATATTGTCAATATTAGAGTCATATTTGCATTTCTATAAATATAAGCAAAAAAATAAAACTAATGGCTCTTAGTACTTACTTCACAGACTAGAATAAAATTTAACCACAGGCCAGAAGTCTGTTTTTCACCTAGCATTTTAATCAACAGTTTTTTCCTTCAATGGTGCCTGTACATTGACCTAAGACATTTTGTTTCACACTTTCTTGACTCCTTCCCACACACATTGCCTTGAGAGTCTAGCAGGGACTTTCTCTAACCTTTGTGTCATATGCGCTGGGTCCTGTACTAGTTCTGGCAATTGTCTGAACACACTCTGCCTTCTCATTTCCTAGTTCCCTACAAGTAGTTTTCCAGACTAAGAGGCTCTTCTACCCTTGCCTTCCAGTTCAACTTATTTTCATTACTCTACACACTAGAAAAGTCCCCAAGAGACACAAAAACAGATGGAGGGCCCACTGCCGTTTGGAGCTGAGAGTCTAGCCAAGATGGAGATAGGATGCCATATAAACAATCATAACATTGTAGAGAAGATGATGAAGCTAAAAAGAAAGAAAGTTAGGTTTGAGCTAGGTTTTAAGAAGAAATTGACACAAAGGGAGTTGACACACATGCTATGGTATATGGTGTCTGTCCCCAGAGGTCCATGTGCTGGGACCTTGCTCTCCAACTGTTAGTTAGGGTTTCTATTGCTGTGAAGAGACACCATGACCACGGTAACTCTTATAAAGGAAAACATTTCATTGGGGTGGCTCCCTTACAGTTCAGAGGTTCCATCCATTGTTGTTATGGCAGGCAGATATGGTACTGGCTACTTCTCGATCAGAAGGCAACAGGAAGTGGACTGTCTATCACACTGAGCAAAAGCTTCAGCAAAAGAGACCTCAAAGCCCACCCTCACAGTGATACACTCCTCCAACAAAGCCACACCTACTTCAACAAGGCCACACCTCCTAACAGTGCAACTCCTTTTGGGATTATGGGGGCCAATTACATTCAAAGTACCATACCAACCTAACATACTGAGAGTTAACAGACCTTTTAGAGGAAGAATCTACAGAAAAGTGATGAGGACACCAAAGTACCACATCCAGGAATGGATCACAGTGTCTCTCATAAGCCTAGGTTAGTTCTCCCCATCAAAATACTGTCTGAGTTGAATTGAGACTTGGGGGATGACAAAATTTCTGTGAAAGCTGGCCATTCATGAAGTACACCAGCCTCTCCTCTATCTTGCCATCTCACACATGCTCTTCAGCTCACACTCACTTTCCTTCTTGTTTCCCATCATGGAAAGATGCAGCGTGAGACCCTCACAAGAAGCCAAGAAAATGCAAGTGGTATAGTCTTGGGCTTTCCCAAACTGTGAGAAAGATATACTCATTTTCTATATAAATTCATCAGTCTTGGGTACTTTGCTGTAGCTTCAGAAAACAGTCTAATACAGCAAACAGTGGAACCTTAGCCACCCTTAGATAGGAAGAAATTCTGACACATGATACAATGTGGGAGAACTTAAAGGCTACACTGAATGAAAACTGCCAATAATAAAAGGAAAAATGGTATATTTCTTCCCCAATTACTAGCAAGGACTTGGACCTCTTTTCACTAAGTGCTGACTCTTCATTCTCCTGCTGAGCCTGAGCTTGGAGAGAAGCGCTGAGACTAAGTGGCAGTCATGGATTCGGTAACAAATTCTTAACAAAGGAAGAAGGAGAGGAAAGCTCCAGCCCACTGACACGAATGGTCTGCCACTAGCTAGCAGAGAAAAGAACTGATGAATACTTCCCATCTTTACCACTGTCTCTGATTCCTTCCCACACACACTGTCCTGTGAGTCCATCCAGGGGTCTCTCTCCCTTGCCTCGTGTGTGCCCTGTGCTGGTAGCACAGAGATCCACGAAGTCCTATGGCTGCTGCTGCTCTGTTCCTCACTGCCTTGGTCACTTTGAATGCATGGCACTTCAGGATACATAAGAAAATTCTACCTATGTTACAATAGCAAACTCCATGTAAAAAGTGTTTTGTCAACTCCAGATAAATAGGCTTTTTAAATTTCCAGTAAATACATATGCTTAGATTTAACATCTGTGAGCTTGAGGTACACATTATTATCAGCAAGGGGAAATATATATAACTCAAGATAAACATGACTGAAGAAGAAAAGAAAACTCACTCTGGTCATACTGAATTTAAATGTGAGATACATCATCCATTCATTTGTTCACTTGTTTATTCATTCACTTCCTTGCTATTAAGTACATATTTATAATCACATATCAGGCCAAAGCCATCAGCGTTCACCATCAGCAGAAAATGTCAAATGGAGGATCTGTGCTCTAGCTGGGGTCAAAGTCAGCAAAATGCACCTCAATGTGTATGTCACTTCATACCTATAGGGTTCGTGGATTCCAGTGTCGTACACACAGGAGTGAGTGAAGACATAGAGAAAAGAGAAATGAAGCAAGAACATAATGGGGGAAATGGCAAGCAGTGAACAGGAGGTAAAAGGACGGACCACGAAGATACAAGGTCAATGAGCTCCAGCAAGTGTCAGAGAGACACATAGGACCAGTGTCCCGAGCAGAAGAGGACTGAATGCTCAGGCCTGTAGCCCATGAATTAGTCCTAAGTAGGAAATGAGTATTTCATTTAACCTAATCTAATTGACAAATACTGCAGACTGGGGGCACATGGGATTGTGGATGGCTTCCTCAGATTCTGTTTTTTATGACTATAATAGAAGACTCATTGGGGATGGGAAATCCTGTGCAAGAACCTCCGCACAACACAACTGGGTCTTCTCTGACTACACAAAGGATTATAATTTGTTCCACACATGGGGCCTGAGAAGGCCCCATATAACAGTTTTCTCTGAAGATCTCAAGCCTTATGCTTCCAAAGATTGTCTGAATCTGGAGTCACGCTGTATTCTGCTAAGGGCAAACAGACCAGTTTTGTCTGCATGAGCTACTATATTCAGCCATTGGGATGGATCTTCCTGAGCTACAGGCTCTTCTGAATTTCCTGAAGATGAAAAGCATGTAGGTTTAAAGTGGACTTGGAGGTATAGATAGAAGCATGTGATAAATAGACTATTGTAGTAAGATCTGTGAAGAACTCAAACTGCAAGGAGCATACAGCAAATAAGAAAGTCAGCCATGCCCAGGAAAAAATTACAGCACATAAAGGAAGAAACAAAGTGACAAGCCAAGCCATGTACTAAGTACTTGCTAATTCCACCAAAATATTAAAGGATGGAAAGATTAATTTGGGTCAAAATGTAGAGTTTTATAATAAAATATGGTATGAAAGTTATGGAAAGCACTCACTTCGACTAGGGAACAGAACAAACCATCAGTGAGAACGGGCAGGAGACGTGGGGAAAATAATGAGATAACCAGCCAAGCTAGCATAGGTTGGAGAAAACACAGAATTATTAAGATACAAGAGTTATATAGTTGTGTTTATGGAAGCTTATTCTTGGTTTTTAGCAGTAAAACCCTGTTTGGATTCCTAAGAAGGAAAACAAATAAAGAAAGAAAAACATCAAAGGGAAAACAGAGCATTCTGGAATCATAGAGCAATTCTACCCATATCAAAGTTAAGCCCAAAGTTACGTTACTGAATACAAGGCAAGAACTTCCATATTGTTCTTGATTTAAGTCCCTCTGGTGTGCGCAGCACAGAACCGGCCACAGAAACGTTTGCTGTGGCACCCTCCATGGTTGAAGAAAGAAGATAGGTGTGCAAACACATGTGTGCTAAGTATTAAAAACTGTGTTATGTCCCGTGGAGAACAAGAAGACAGATGAGGAAGGAGATTTCTTGCTCCTTAAATTATAGATATATCTAACCTCTGGAATATCAAAAAAATATCAAAAGATAATTGATGAGTCAGTATCATCATCTGTTAATCTAAAGATATACCAAGGATATCCCTAAGTTAAACATAAGGCTCTATTATAATAAAAAAACATGTAAAATATAGCTGATATAATCCAAAATCACACCGTGGGTAGGCTAAACAACAACTAAAAAACTAAAAATGCAGACACATGGCCTTTCACCAAGCAACAGAAGCCACGTGGAATTATCAAACCAGCCTTCAATGTCCATGCCATTTTTTCGTGATGTTTTCCCATATAAAGCAAGATCTCAATGGCAACTGCTAAATGCTTGAAAATATTTTAAATAAGAAAATTCCCTGAAGTATTACATAACTCTTTGAGAGGTCTTGAGTAATGATAAGAATAAACTGGGCATAAAATCCCCAGCTGACGTCCCAGGCCCTCTAATCAAGGTCGGGCATATCTCATAGAGCAGCGAAGTTCATTATCTTTTTCTCTTTTTTTTCCCCTGATGAAACAGGTTTGCTGTATGTATCCCAAGCTGGTTTCGAACTCACTTTCCTCCTGCCTTCCCTAATAAATTCCTTTCATAAGGAGTCAGAATCCTTCCCTGCGAGATAGCATCTCAAATGCCTGAATCCATGACCATGCTCATTTCAAGCGGCTCATCCCCACACAACCATATCTCCTCTCACATCTTTCTTCCCACTGTGTCTGTCTTTGCCAGTGATGGTCACCTCACTGAACAATGGCTTCTTTTCTATTTACACAGCAGCAAGACAGAGAAGAAAGACTAACGAAGGTAGGAAACACATGTTTCAGATCTCCTGAGTGCCTCTGTCCAAGCTTGTACTCCTCAGTAACCTCTGTGATGAACAGCAGTTACCACATGCACAGTGCTGTATGGGAAACAAGGGCAGTGAAAAAGGGGAAATGGAAAGGTGGTTTGCTTCAAACAATGTGGGTTTGCAGAATGGAATGAAGAAGGCCTAAATGTGAAACATAAAAATACAAAGATTCCCGATGCAAAGCCAGTTTCATGTGTGAATGCTTTATCAGTGCCAAAGGTGGGGGACCCCAGTGAGTTGGGGCAAAGGCTCACCTGATGTTTGGGGGACCCCAGCAAGTGGAAGAAAATATCACCTGATGTTTGTGGGACCCCAGAGAGTGGAGGAAAGGCTCACCTGATGTTTGGGGGACCCCAGCAAGTGGGGGAAAGGCTCATTTGGTGTTTGGGGGGGCCCCAGTGAGTGAGGGAAAGGCTCACCTGATGTTTGGGGGACCCCAGTGAGTGGAGGAAAGGCTCACCTGATGTTCAGTAGCTTCAGCGCATTTAGCAGAACTCCCCTTTTCACATCATAATCTATTTTCTGATCAGTTCCAAAGCTTGGGGCTCGATTAATCTGAAATTTACAGAGAAAACAATGAGCTTGGTTGGACGTTGGGAGGTTAATACATAATCATCAGTTTATGTTAACTGAGGGTTTCCAGTCATCAGTCTCAGAGCTCTACATGGAAGATGCTCCAGTCATCACTGCCACACCTGTTTTCCTGTTACCCAATGGCAAAGCACTGCAGTAAAACGTCTGCAAGCACCAACTCCTCTCTCTACAGCAGTGGTTTCTTAATTAGTGGGTCGCGATCCCTTTGGAGACAAATGACCCTTTCACATGGGGTCTCCTAAGACCATCAGAAGATATGAATATTTACATTAATATCATAACAGTAGCAAAATTACAGTTATGAAGTAGCAACAAAATAATGTTATGGTTGGGGTCACCACATGAGGACTGTATTTAAGGGTCGCAGCATTAGGAAGGTGGAGAACCACTGCTCTACAGGCTTAGTGTTGCTGCTAGCATTACCTGGCCACTCCAACCAATTGGCCCATATCATCTAGCCTTAGAAAAAAGTAACTTACTATGAGAATTGGGAAAACCCATAGTAGAACTATTCTGACATCGTAATAGTTACAAATATGTGCATGCTTAGCGTGTAGGAAGGACCAGCTCCCTCTTTTCACTGCCTAAGATCTTCCTGATGAGTTCTGTTGCTTCTGAAAATAGAAATCTTGTTTCTCTCTACCTGGCTTAACAGTGATTCATTAACTTTCATCTCAGAAAGCATTGATTCAGGCACTTGGAAGACATTCCTAACAAGAGGCACAGGCTGGGCTCAGTTTTCCACCTTGAGAATGGTTTTAATACTTGGAAATTTCTTTACGCTTGCCACTGCCAATCATTGCCTGGATTCTAAGTAGCTAGACATTCCATACTCAGAGGCACCTCCACCTTATTCCACGTGGTGGCGCCAGAAGGTTTTAACACTGAGCATGAGACACAGCCTTATCAGCTGGCAGCAAAATGCAGAGCAAGCTCTCAAAATAGGACATTTACCAACCTGAACATGCAAACTGTTCGCTATTCACAGATAGCAACGCTGTGGAGTTTTTTTTTTTAATTAATGATTCTGAGCTAAGTAAGGTAGAAACAATGAAGAAAGATAAAGAATGAAGAAATGTGTTTATTGTGAGCCTTTTAAAAGAAAAACATACAGAGTCGGACTGCTCAGTCAGTTCTAATTTAGCAATCTGATGAAACGCTCCTATGAACAAATGCTTTTTGTAAAGGTTAATTCACACTTTATATAAAGTTCTTATTCCCAACAATCCTTTTATTTCATCCTCGTGAAATGAGCATGCCTTCACTTCTCCACCCATCGGGGGAAGTGACCAGGGCAGGAGCAGAGGAAAGCACAGCAGCCAGAGGAAATAGCCACCAAGGTGCAAGCATTCACTCTCCGGGATCCAGGCCTTCCTAGGACGGAGGCTCCGCGGTACACAGTCAAGTACTCTTCCACCCAAGGACGACAGAAGCAAAGGAAGCGCGACTAAACCACGTCTTATTTCTAGAACCAAGGTTGACTGAAATTCTAGCCAGCAGAAAAATGAATTTTCCTGGATATATAATATGAGTTATTTGTCCAGAATATATGAATACACTTCTCTTTCTCTCCTTCTCTCCCTCACTCAAATTAGACAAAGCGTGCTTTCCTTCAAAATGTTTTGGATCAAAGTCTTACTTAGCACACATTCAGGTTTGCTTACAGAAACCTGGAGACTATGATGTAACTTCTGGCTTCTAAATCACTAACCTAAAAGAGGGACATCCCTCTGGAATGAAAGGCAGTGGTTGATCTCAGCTTCTGCGGTAGTATGTTCCTGAAAATACAACTCATTCTGGAAACACAGATCAAATGAGTCTAGGAGTATCCCTGAGAAGGTAGGTGCTTTCTGTGACCCCAGATGAGGGGTCCTAGAGAAAACATCTGCATAGAAGACATCTGGACAAGGCTTGTAAGGTGCCCTGTGAGTAACACAAATATTAATGTGACTGCACAACACACCAGCATCTTGAGCAGAAGTTGTTTTTATATTCTTTACATTGTTCCACATGTTAGGTGACAATTTATAATAAAAATAATAATAACTAGAGGAGACAGGCAGCAAATGCCCAAAGACATTCAGTTTTCAGGAATATCAAACAGCCATAAGGGAGGATTTATGTTCACTGCAGTGCTGAGTACTGGGTACTGAATAGTGAGCCAACTGGAGCCCCTCCTCCCGTGGAGTGTCTAAAGACACACTAAAGTTGGGCTTCTGAGGCGGTGCCCTCCAGGGGAGACATAATAGCCAGAGCTCATGAAGTGGTAGGTAGATGCCACCAGGTTGAGAAAATACTCATAGAACCAGCCAACAGCTCAGAGGCAGCAAGCTCACACTTCAGTTCACTCGATGCTAATGAGAGGAAGCAATATAAAATCATATTGATTCATCTTTGGAAATGCTCTAGTCCCAGAATTTTCATTCACTTCCTCCCACATACTCCATTCAGGCCTCATTCCAGCCAGTGAGTTGGGGACACCTGTGCCAAGTACACATTTGAAACTCAGTTTTTAAACACATACGAACAGTGCTAGCTTTTTTTTCTTTTTTTAACTTCTTAGAGAATCCCTTACCTCCAGAAGCCACGGCTTTAGCTTTCTATCCAACAAGATGTCGAACCCCAGGACTTCGAAGCAGACGCTTTGGCTTCCTGGCGGCTGACCAGGTCTGCACATCCGATATGCATGCAGAACATGAGGTTCCGCTACAATCAACGTCTTTACCACCAATTCCTATCGAGGTTGTGATGAAAGATATGAAAATGCCTTATTTGGATGGAGTTTCATACAAAAATGGCCTGGGGACAAACGAGCATCCTGGGTGGGTTCACGCATGCTCTTTGGCTGCTTGAGCTGCTCTCTACCTCACTTCCTCAGCTCTGCCCTTTGCCCTTTGCCTACCCGTTGCTCTGGGCACTCTCTCTGAATTTCTCTAGTAGGTGACACTTTTTCCCACCTGGGGCTCTGTGCTGTCCCATCTCCTGGAGCATCCTCCCTTAGAGTCCCATGCCTGGTAACTAATATTCAGACAGGGCACAACCATGCTTGAAAAGCAGCCACGCTTGAAAATGCATCCTATTACTCATAGCATGCAACCAGTTGACACCTTTCTCTTGTTGTTTGAATAAGACCCTTGTACTTCCTATTTTTTACACCATCCCAGCATCCATAATAGTGTCTGACACTGGAGATGCTAAAAAAAAAAATTGTAAACAAATAAGATTTTAAAAGGAGCATAGGCTAACCCTTTACAGAAGGAGAAAAGAGTGATAAAGAAGAAAATTCTAGGAACAGTACAGCAATTCCCAAACAGCATTATGGGACCTCCACTTCGACAGACGTTGAAGGGGCCAGGAAGAAAGAGCTTATGGCTGCTGCTTTTATTCATGGTGCTGGTTTGTACTCTGTAAAGGTTTCTCTGAGAAGGGAATACGGCTGGAGATTTGCCTCAGTGGTTAAGAGAAGTTCATGCAGAGGAACCCAGTTCAGTTTCCAGCACCCACAGGGCAGCTCACAACCATCTAACTCCAGTTCTAGGGGATCTGATGCCCTCTTCTGACCTCCACAGACACCAGGCACACACAGCACACATAAATACATGCAGGCAAAATATTCACACACATAAAATAAAAATAAATGACTTTTTAAAACTATCAAATTTTTCCATGTGGAAACACACAGTGGAATATGGGAAAGCTAGCTACTTGACTGCCTTTTGCTTACACTGGCTTCCTAACTCCTACTGTCTGAAAATAGGGAACCAGAGATGGATAAGACCTAGACTCCCTAGTCAGACTTCTGGGTTTATGCCTGCTTTTATGCTTCTTATCTAGGCAGCGCACTCATGGTGCTTCAACTCTGTGTCTTGTTTTTCCTGAATGTAAACCACCAAGGGACAGGCTGAGAGCCCAGACACAAATTCCAGCACAGTGCTAGAATAGAGTAAACCTTCACTAAGTGTTAGCTAATTAACTACTCTTTGCTCTGGAATAACCCTTCTGTATACTGTGTGAATATATGTTGCTATGATTGGTTTAATAATGAAAGCTGGCAGGCCAGTAGCTGGGCTAAAACTTAGGCAGGAAAGTCAAACTGAGAATGATGGAAGAAGAAGGGAGGAGTAAGAGGAGTTGCCAGCCAGATGCAGAGGGACCAGGAGATGAACATGCCATACTAACAAAGGTACTGTCATGTGGCGGAGCATAAATAAAGAATATAGGTTAACTTAAAAGGTAAGAGCTAACTAGTAATAAGCCTGAGCTATTGGCCAAGCATTTGTAACTTATATTAAGCCTCTGAGTGATTATTTGGGACCAGGCAGTCCAGACAGGAAAACTCCACTGCTGTGGGATGTTCTGTATGATAAATGTGTTGCTCTGATTGGTTGATAAATAAAACACTGATTGGCCAGTAGCCAGGCAGGAAGTATAGGTGGGACAAGGAGAGAAGAGAATTCTGGGAAGTGGAAGGCTGAGGCAGAGAGATGTTGCCAGCCGCCGCCATGACAAGTGAGATGTAAGGTACTGGAAGGCCACGAGCCATGTGGCAACATATAGATTAATAGACATGGGTTAATTTAAGATAGAAGAATTAGATAGCAAGAAGCCTGCCACGGCCATACAGTTTGTAAGCAATATAAATCTCTGTGTGTTTACTTGGTTATGTCTAAGCGGCTGTGGGACTGGTGGGTGAGAGAGATTTGTCCTGACTGTGAGCCAGGCAGGACCAGAAAAACTCTAGCTACACTCCACCTACAACTGTTCTGTTGCTGGTCTGTCATTTTCAGGAATCAATCTTATGGCTCAGGTCAAATATACTACCACTGGGTGGAAGCAATATTACATGGGAGAGAAAGAGGGAAAGGGATATTAACCTCATTGCTGTCACTCAGAAATATAGATCAGTTCAAATAACTGCATACACACAGACACTTTAATGTTTGTAATAACATATTTGGAACATTTAAAAAATATTCTCATTTAACAGGTTATTTGTAATCACTACATGCACTCTATCTAACAAACTACATATCACATTTGTAGATAATATCATGGAATGTGTCAGAGATTAAAAGGCTTACATTAGTATTTGGGGCTCACATCTAAAAATTATACCTCAGGATCTAACATAAAAGTTCATTTCCATACCCTCTCTTCATCTTGTTGGAGAACTTTCTCCTAACTCAATTGCATGAGAGAAGTACTGTCTAAAACCAGTGTCTGAAGAGGACATTGTGACCACTGCTCTCTGGCTGGTCCTTCACTGTTACATCCCTCACTAAGGCAGCCCAGTAGGTTATACAAGAATTCTCTCAAAGACCCAAACTCATATAGAAGTTAATGTGCTGGTAAAGAATGAAGAAAAAAAAAAACAGAACGCCAGAATGTGTATGATGTTTTCTTAGTCCAACTGTGACAGTGATCTAAGGACTTGGAGTATTTGAATGAATGAGTGGATGGATGGGTGGATGGATGGATGTACAAACAAGTAAAACTCCTTCCCTTAATCTTCAAAACTAATTCTACACTTAAATTTCTTCCTATTCTATTTCAAATATCACATCTCTTCTCCCTTCCATTCTTCCTGAACACAGAGAGACACTTGACCCTCTTCTGCATTATGGACAATCAGCCCCAGGGTCTACCTCCTTGTTCCTCTTTCACTGTGGTTCACTTTAAGCCATCTTTTCACCTCAGCTACTTATAGGAGCTTCCCAGGTGTCCTCACTGCCTATCCTTAATGTTGGCTTAATCCAGTCCATGCCTGGTTTTTATGTCTTTCAGATGCATACATTTGATCATATTAATCATATTACTCTCCTCTGTTAAAAACTGAATGAGGTTGTCAAGTTGGCTCAGCAGGTGAAGATGCTTGCCACCAAACGTGATGACCCTAATTTGATCCTCAAATTTATAAAAAGGGGAAGTCAACTCTCATAAGTGTCCTCTGATCACACACATATGCTGTGGCATACATGTTGGTGTTGGTGATATTTAAATTTCATGCTAATGAAAGACATTTACAGTTACAGAATAGGATAATCTTACTGAAATATCATTCCAGAATTTAGAAACATCATGTTGATTGGCCTGTAGGAATTCTGTAAACCACTTGATTGAACGTTTGCTGCCTTTGTCTTCGGTTTCATTGCGTTCGAACCGCTCATTATGTTTGTTCACAGAGTAGTTGGTCAGATGCATGTATAACTGGGTCTGTAAGAAGGAAGAGCAAAGTGTTACCACCTAGGAGAGCCACAGCCACTTGGTCTCACAGGGAGGAGAGCCTCAAAGATTTGGTAAAGCCTAGATGTTCTTAAACTTGGAGATAACCAGCATACGTGTGTAAAGCTGATCCTAGAAGACAGAAGTTGATAAAAGGATTTTGATCTATGAATGAGCTACCTCCCTGCAAAATGTGGGTCAGTGAGGGCCTAGTAACCCCAAAACCAATACAGGCAATAGCCACTGTTGCTGAGTACTCATCAGAACTAGGCATTACTGCTAAATACAATACATGCTCTGATCACAAGGCACACAGAAAATAAACTAGAGCTGAACTGAAACCTTCTTCTCTGCTGTCTCACTTCCATAGTGTTGGAGGGTGCTAGGCTGTGAGGTTAGAAAAGTCATCAACAGTCTTGTTGATGACCAAGCAGGCAAGATGTGCTTACTGTTGCAATTGTGACAAGTCAGTAATCAGATAACCAGCCACAGCCTGATTGCACTCAAGATCCGTTCCACAGTAGGGAATCCCTAGCTGGTACTGTAAACCTAGTCAAAAACCCAAGGCTGGAGAGACAGTAGATCATGATCAGGAAACTATTGCTGCTGTTTTTGCTTAAATGGATATTTAAATATGTGCCTGTTAAAATCCCTTCCAAACAAAGATGTGTGTGATCATGGGTTAGTGCTGCAGCCAGTTTTGATCAGAGAAGGTTCTTCATGCAGTGGGCTTTATACCTACAGAGACTCATAACCAGTCAAAGTGATGAGCATACATGGCAGTTGAGTGCTCAGCTATATAGACAACATCTATATTCCTCCCTTCAAAGCTTAGTGGATGTCACAGAAAGGTGGGAAAGGAAAAGCTGGAGGAAGGGGTAGAATGTTGTACAATGTTATCTTCTGGAAATGGTATGGCCATTGCACCCATGAATTCACAAAAGCTGTAATTACTTGCACAAGACTTACAGAAGATTAGAACAGTCAATGTCCATTCATAGAGGCCCCACACGCCTCACTGAGGGACCAATAGGAAGGAAATGATTGCCATGGGAGAGACATTGTCTTTAGTGGAGTAGACACCAGTAGGGTGCTGATGCTCCTGTAAATAAGCCCTTCTACAAGGCCCTGTGAGGAACCCAACGAAACTAAGAAATAAAAAGACATGCAAGTATAAAAGAAGCTGGATAGAAAAAGAGAAGGTGTCACAGAGCAGGGGAGGACAAGAGAGGGTAATGGGGGAAATATGATCAAAATACATCATGTTTATATATGAAATGTCATAATGAAACCCATTATTATATATAATATATGCTAATTAAAACCATAAGCCTCTAAACTATACCAACTGATTATTTTGGTGCTTGAGTATTTTCCAGTGGAGAAAAATGTCACTTGTCCCTTGAGAAGACTGTGAATGTTAGTACTGCAGAATGACTTTACTAATTACTTATAATATTCACAATTAAAGTACCAAATGAATGACAATATAGGCAAAAATTAAATGTGAAACTAGACTTTGCTAAGTCAAAATACTCCTTCAATAGCCCCTTCGTTTTCAATGTGTGGCCCCTAACATTGCTCATCCAAATCTATTTGAGCAAGAAATTTTCTAAGAAGCATTCTCCATCTCTTAAGGGAACAATTAAAAAATGAAAGCATCAGGAGGCAGGGTACCCAAGACACAGGACTACTAACACATCTGTCCCTCCACTCCACACTGAGAAGGCACCTGGACCCCCTTCAGACGGTGCACCTGGTGTCAGCAGGCAGTGAGTGTCTTTGATAATGCTCAACAGGTGACAACTGTGAGACAGATCTGGCTCCATTTGTGGTGTTTGTGTTTGAGACTTTTTGTGTTATTTTCTTGTTTTAGATGGGGGTGTTTGTTTGTAACAGGGTAACACAGGATAACCTGGAACTCACTGTGCAGCCCACACTGGCCTGAAACTCACAATAATCTTGTCTGGGGTTCATAAGGTAGCCACCACACCCAGCTCTTTTGTTTGTTGGTAATATTTTCTTTAAGTAAACTTGAAAAGAATGCAAAATTCAAAACTTCTCTCTCAGTAAACTTCTAATGTTTCCTCATCAAATTAGCATAAACGCCGGGCAGTGGTGGCACACGCCTTTAATCCCAGCACTCGGGAGGCAGAGCCAGGCGGATCTCTGTGATTTCGAGGCCAGCCTGGGCTACCAAGTGAGTTCCAGGACAGGCGCAAAGCTACACAGAGAAACCCTGTCTCGAAAAACCAAAAAAAAAAAAAAAAAAAATTAGCATAAACATTAATAAATCTATCTTAAATTCCTATCCTTTTCCTAATCCTACTCCTCAAGATAGTTTTGAATAAAAATGTTGCATCATGATTAATGTAATGAATATATATATATATATATATATATATATATATATTCTACTCATATGACCATTATTTTGATTCTTGATAACCAACTATACACTTCTGGTATCTTATCTTTACTGCAATCCCAGAGGTCTATATATTAATTAAAATTTTTGAAATAAGCAGAAATAACTACTTATTTATTAATTTGTATGGCTATCACTACTGAAAAAATGTCTTTTCACTCATGATGCAATATTTAAGGAGCAACTACAGAAGAGAGGGCAGAAAGGAGCCAAGCAAAGCCTTCAGGTGTTAAATTGTGTAGATATTCCCAACACTGCGTGTCATCACATAGGCTTAATCAAGTGAACTGGTAAATAGGAAACTTTTTAAGAATGGGCTGGTCACTACAGAAGATGGGTATGTTGGCATGTACCTGTAATTCTAGCATTTAGAAGGTGGAGACAAGAGAATCAGGAGCTCAAGTTCATCCCTGGCTGCATAGTGAGTCTAGGCCAGCCAAGGCTAGATTGAGACCCCATCTCAAAACAAAACAAAAAATGAATGCTGTATTTCAACATTTGAAGTTCCCTGTCATAATCTCTATTATAGTCATGAACCAAATTTCATGGAATGATGTTCATAAATTCATTAATAACTATAATTAAGTTTACAATATAATTTCCTATGGAAATACAGGAGCTATTAAAAATGTACATTCATTATTTTAAAAATTAGAAAGTGGAGTAAAAAGAACTATGCAACAGTATACCATTCCAAAACCACTAAAACTGTTTTGACTTTTATTTCATCTTTTTAAAAATAATCTTTTACATAATTGTTCAATCAGCTAACATAAAATTTCAAGTTTGGGTTTTTTTTTTTCCCACACAACCACATAAGGATTCAGTAATGAATTCACAGAAATAGACGATAGATACTAGCATTTAAGAAGAGCTTACCTTTTTCTACATATGTAGGAATTGAAGGCAGCAACTTACATGTTCAAAAACAGCTATCAAATGAGGCATAGAGATTGTACCTCTGTTCTCCCCAGCTTTCATTATAATTCTCTAGCCCAGTGAACTTACTTTGTATACACAGCTTAGTATTTCAGAATAGAACCCCCAAGCTTTATCCTGTCTAACATAATCAGTAGATTCCATCACTTTACACAAATATGACCCACTCTTACAAATTCCAATTATTTAAATTATAATCTACAAGCTGACATGTCATAAGTCAAGCCCATAACTCAAATGGTTCTTCCACGAATAGCCAAAATCCGTGTGGAACAGATCCAGTTTAAGGTCAAGGCCAAATACATTAATTTTCCACAAAACTTTCAGCAGCTCCTGAACTCTCTCGCCATGGGAGTACAGCTCACTCTCCCAGTGTCCAAGCCAAACACCCCGGATTTTCTCTGACTCCCACATATCCAGCATATCCAGCTCATCACCCTGCCATACCAATGCTATCTGTGTTACCTTAAATATATCTCAAATCCATGCTTAGATTCCTAGTCTGGCCCTGAGTTCAAATCACCTCTCATCTCACCTGGCTAGACTGAAATGGTGTCTGGTTTCCCACACTTCCAGTCTCTTTTATCACTCCTGATATGCTCTATTCCCATCTCATTCTCCACACTGCAGGCCCGACAGATTTCTTAAAAGCCCAAATGTAATTCTCCTTTTCAGTGTATCATTTTGAGCTGATCCCCAAGACCTAGAAAGTCCCTTACAGTGTCTAGAAAATCTTGTTTCAGGGACCCTCTCTGCTCATCTCTGAACAGACACATTCTTTCTTCTGGTCCGTACTTTACCTAAACTCAACTTGTCTGCTTCCTACAGACTTCATATTCTTTTCCCTAATCCTCTCTTTCATGAGGTGCTCCACCCAACCCTGAGCCTGGCTAGTTCATTCCTCAGTCTTCTGTGACCTTAGACTCCATCTGGAAAGATGGCCCACTATGCATTACCATAGTTCTCTCAGATTTAGAGAACCACATTCAAACTTGCCATCAGGTATTCTAAATGCTTACTTTATTTTCTACGTCTCCACCAGACTGTGGTTTCTATGAAGTCATACACTGCATTTCTGTAATGTTTATACTAATGTTTCTTCAAAAACAGCACAGTTCTAGGGAATGTAGTACACTTCAAATATTACTTGGGGAAAGTTAAGAACAAACTTTATGACCATAAATAAAACATTTCTTTATTTTAATGTCTTTTCCTAATATTTTTATAGTTCATTTTTTTCCTTGTCAGGTCTGTGAAAATTTTAGTTTACTGATAGTAACAACTTTGAAATGATTAATCTTACTAGAAGCAAGTACAACTGTTGAAGAAGAGGAATTGGGCCTTTGAAAAGCTGAGAAACAATAACTAATTGTGACTTTTTTATACTCAGTACATTCACAATGTAAGATTAAAGTCAACTTAATTTTTATGGTTGATAAATTACAATTTAACATGTATAAACAATAAATTACAGTGTATTATCTTTATGGTAAATTACAGTTACAACTTTCATGAATACTAACTGCTGTACAAATAAAGTCTTAGTGAAAAAATCCTTATGAAATGATTCATTTAATAAAACTCTCAATGCGTACAGAAACTGTCCACTTTTCCCTTCATGTGTGGTCAACGCAAATTTAGAACCCACCTCCCTTTACCACTACAAAATTATTCATTTTTTTTGAATAGAGATTGTACCTCTGTTCTCCCCAGCTTTCATTATAATTCTCTAGCCCAGTGAACTTACTTTGTATACACAGCTTAGTATTTCAGAATACTAACTGATGACAACTGTTGATTTTATCCACACACTTTCTTCCACGTTTACATGTTCATACTGTACCTCGTACACAAAGCTTCGTCAAATGTCAGCTCTCCCATGAGGAGCTGAACCCCATGATCCCTGCACTTTACTATACTTCTCACACCACGGTGACTTTATTTCCAGTACAGCGATCTCTAAAGAGGTCACTACATAGAGACGGAAGCTCAAAAACCAAACCAGAGAAAGTGTCTTTTCCTAACTAATCAGATATTCTGTCTGGTTTTCACAAGGCTGTCTGTAAGTGAGAAGCAATCTTACTTATGCAAGTGATTCTTTCAGCCAGAAGCTCTTTGAAGAAGGAACTTCGAGTCATACAATCCTTACACATCACAGGTGATTTAAAGGCAGACATTGAACAAATGATGATAACTAAGTTCTCTGTTGTCACTTACCAAGTTGGACTCATTTGGTGGGATGTACTTCTCTGTCCCCATTCGCACAAGCCCATCATGGTAGAGAAATATCTTTAATGGATCACAGGATGTAACCAAAATATAAATCCGTAAATCAAACTTGTAGCCTTCCATTAGGAAAGGCTTTTCAATGTATTCTTGAACTATCAAATGATCCTGAGATGGAATTTTATCCCCATTTCTTATCAATGAAATCCTAAGTTTAAAGAAAACAAATAAAAATAATTTGATATGGAGGTTGAGATGCCAGAAATAAAAATGTCATCTATGTATTCAGGAAGAGAACAGTGTTACAGAAAATTCCAAAACCCTGCCCCTCCACAAGAGCAGTGAGAGGGTGGTGTCCGAATCAGCCCTGTGGAGGCACAGAAGCTAAGCAAAAGTTTGAAACACCCAGAGAATATGTTACCAAGAGGGGAGGAAGAGTAGATGGGAAAGCAGGGGAGAAAACCAGCAGCTAAATTCTGTTTAATGGAGCTTTTGGTATTTTAACTAGTTCCATCACATCACTCAATCCCAGTTCAGCAGTGGTTTTATCAGCAACCCAGTTCCCAGCCCAGAGGATAGTTCTAAGTGGGCTGAGTGGACCTGACTCCTGTGGCTGTTTACTTTGATCTGCCTTGGGCTCTCTAGAGGAACTCGGTTTGCTTTGATTTGCCTAACACAAAATATCTACACTAGAAGACATGACTAAATACTTTTAAGTGTATGCAGGAAAATTGCTATTTACATAGAAGAAAGCAGAGAAATGAAGAAAAATTTAAACTACATGAAACACAGCAAGCATGATATAGATACATAAAGCAATTAGCAAAATGACAGAGGAAAAACAGTCTCTTCTAGTAACTAAATTAAATGTCGCTAGATTAGCTTGAAAAGCAGGGCTTGAGAAATGGGTCTAAAAAAATCAGTCTAACTACAATGTCATCTAAAAAAGACCTCCTTTAGAATTAGAGATGCAAAGGGTTGAACATTAAAATGATGGGGAAATGAAAGCAAGCAGTATTCTGAAGTGGTTACACTTGTATCCAGCTAAACAAAAATTGCCATGACAGACAAGAGACAAGATGTGATACTATATGATAAGCAAAATCTCAAGAATATAAAAATCAAAAAATATGTCTTTGATGAGCTATAAAATTTAGCAAGCAAAAAGTGATCAAAATGAAGGGAGCTATGGCTCAGCTGTGATAGTTGCAGTCTTCAGTAGCCCATCTTCAGCAACAGGACACTAGGCAGAGTAGCTAGGAAATGGACATAGATAACAGGTAACAGAAGCCCCCTGTGCCCACTCACTATTTTGTTACAGCACATAATTCCAAGCTATAGAGAACGCCCTTTCTGTAATGTTTTCTCGCTGTTTTGGCACTGCTATCAAATATATTGTGCTAGTATTAGTAAACATTTATTAACTTTATCACAAAGACTGAGAAACATATATCAATCATCATTCCTCCTCCAATTTCCTTTTCCCTAATGGATAACAGGAAACCAACATGCCAATAATCAACAGACACAAAATCCCCACTAACACTCTTCTTAATCTGTATATGACCAAGCGTGCTTGAACATAATGTATGATTGAGTCAGTGCACCATGTTCAAAAGTTAAATGGTTTTTAAAAAACAATTTAACAGGGCAGCTACCATTTCCAAGGATATTTTGCAAAATGCATTTTATATTTAAAAAAGTTCAAATGATTCACATGCATTTTGCTAAAAATAGCCTCAGCCAACTTCCTATTTTTAAAAAAATGCATTACAGAAAACTAAATAAGCAGAGAGGATAAAAAATGTTATGCTGTGCATTCTTTTCTTGGATAAATTGTCTAGTTCTTTGGCATGCTAGCTTAAAATGTGTCATGTGCAGCCTTAATCCAGTTACCAAGGCTACAAGAGGAAAACATTTATAAAGCAGAGAATATATACATTTTGCTTCAAGCATCCTCATTATAATAAGACAACTCTCTCTATTTTGTTCTCCAAGACAATTTAGCTCTTCTGTAGCAATTTATCTTATTATCGAAGATTATTAAAATTATTGTAAGCATGTATTGTGTCTATGGAGAAATAAAATAAATTTTCCCTGAAAGTTACTATTTCTCTAACATCTCACAACTCTGGTGCATTTTTAATTGGATTACTGATGTCTGTTAGCAGGGTCAGTCATAAAAATGTGATAGCTAGAAACTTATTATTTTTCCAGTATAGTATTCAACCATGAGTAATTGTGGGCACATCTTCTCTCTCATTTTACAATGACTGTATTTTGCAGAAAAAAATTAACCTACCCATGACCCATTGCACCATTAGCTGGTTTTATTATAAAAGTTTTCTGCTTCCTTTTTTTCTTCAATTCTTTCACATAGTTTTGGAATTGAGTATATTCAGAAGGGAAAATCCACGTTCGAGGAACAAAAGTATAATCCAGGGGGCGAGACTTGATCATTCTGTAAATCAGAGGCAAGAGGAAACGTAAATTCTATTAAAAGTTAATAAATCTTATTTTTGTAACAGTTATACTATGAAGACTTAAATACCTTTGTTCTTTCATTTATTATTTTACTTATTGCCTATTATCTGTTCTAATCTCTGTATACTAGACAATAGCCCAAATGAGACTGTCAACAAACTGAAGAGACAAGAATCTCTGCCCTGTTACACACTGATTTATGTTTTAACACAATGAATGTTTATTTGACTGTGTACTATGCTAGGCACTGGTGAAGCAAGGAGAGTTAGCATGGCCTCTGCCTCCAGTGAATTTGCAGACAGGCTTTGCATACTAGACCATGTAATAAGAGAGTGGTGGCATAAAGGGCAGGCTCACAAGTGTTAGTCACTAGCTCTCAGGGAGGGTTCAGGAAACCCACCATTTATATTGCCACTTATTCTTAGTGTTCCAGTCCCCCAAGTCATCCATAGACAGCAATTCCTGACTTCTTTCTATGCCACTGCTTTAGAGTTTAGCCGCTTTTCTGAGAAAACCACCTGAAAATTTCTGAATCCATAGAAAATTATGTAAATGAACCATCAATTCGTGTGATTGTACAACCGAAGATATAGTTGTATTTGCTAGGACTGTGCCTACAGTGATCCATAATTTGATGCTGCTGCTGCTGCTGAATATAAGATGTTTGTTTTGAGGGGAAGTGGAGATACTAGAGACAGAACACAAGGCCTTCCATGTGCTAGGGAAGTGTTCCACTACTGAGCTGTACCCACTACCTTCTTTGTAGTTTTTATTTTAAAACCGGGCTCATTAGTTGCCCAGGCAGGCCTTGAACTCACAATTCTCCTGTCTCACCTTCCCAAGTAGCTAGGATTACAAGTTTGTGCCACCAGACCTGGAAAAAAAGGTTAATTTTTGATTGATCCAAAATGTTAAATATTTTATACTTATCAATTCTCAATAAAAATGAAAACAAAGAATGATTTTTTAAATATTATTAAAAGTAATGCTTTCTTTTTAAACTCTATTTATTTACTAAATACATATGGATGTTTTATCTGTGCACCATGTGTGTGCCTAGTGCTGAATAGGCCAGAAAGGAGCATTAGAGCCTCTGGAACTGCAGTTACAGACAGTTATGAGCGGCTGTGTGGGTGCTGGAACTCAAACCCAGGTCCCTCTGGAAGAGCAGCCAGTAATCAGTCCTCACAGCTGAGGAATCACTCCAGCCCTGAAGATAATATTTTAAAAAGAGACATTTTTTTTCTCTTTCTAAGTGTGTAGTGGTCTTTAATAGATAGATGAGCAAAGTCTGCAAAAAAAGTTTAGTCAAAATGAAAATGGAATCACAGTAGACAGAACGCACAAAAGCAGAGGCTGAAATCTGAGAGGAGAATGGGCAGAGAGGGTCAACCACTGGGGAAGCAACTGGACACGCACAGAGCTGACACATTGCAAGTACTTTCCCAGGACTTCTTAAGTGATGTTGAGCTGGGGCGCTAGGTCAGTAGGTCAGAGTGTAGGGGTGCTCACTGAGCAAGCCTGTGGACTTGACCTCAAAGCCCCAGGGCCTAAGTAAATGATAAGGGGCAGCCTCAGAGGCTTTAGAACCTCAGCACTATGGAGAAGTGGAGGCGGGAGGATCCCTGGGGCTATCAGCTAGCCTAGCTCCAGGTCAGTGAGAGACTTGCTCTCTAGGAAACAAGTCAGAGAATGACAGCAGGGCACACAACTTCCTCCTCTGGTTTTCAGGAGCATGTACCTGCACACACAAATATGCACACATCACCCACCCCTCCTCTCTCCCCACTCCTCCAGCTCTCTCTCGTGTGCACATACACAGATATGATACTGCCACTATGAGAAAGGAAATAATGTAATTTCCAATTGCATTTGTTTCAAGTATGTTAATCCCACAACTAGATAATCTCAATTCAAAAAAAAAAGAATATTGACTGGTTTGATAGCTTGACTTTTTAAGTAAAATTAGTGCTAATGTTGTAGTTTTTATTTCAACACCTTCACATGTGTTTATTGTACTTAACAATGATCTGAAATTAGCTGAGTTAATGCTTTAATTAGAACAATAATCTTTAAACGAACCATGTGGTACCTTTCTTTTACATATGCAAATACATATCTTACTTATCTCATGTACTTAAAAATTATCAGTTTTTGCAGCATAAGCTAGATATGAAATGGTTGTGTGAATAGATATACAATTATAAATATTCACAAGAATAATATCAATGATAATCTTTAATTATAGACATGTTATATTAATTTTTATGAATACTCCTTTTTTAAAAAAATGTTGTTTCTCACTAAACATTTTTAAGCCAAAAAAATCCAAGTAAGTCTAACCCACAGAAATGTAAACTGCATAAAAATTTGATAGTTTTTTCCAACAAAACATTTGAGTACCTGTTACCAGTTTTTCACATGAAAGGTTTATTCTGATTCCTGACCTGGGAGATGAATGCCTAATCCCAAGTGAGTATGGGTACATGTGTTTATGAGCATGTATGCACACATGTACCTAGTACAGTGCTTGGAATTTAATTAGAGATTTAATAACCAATGAACACATACAGCATGGGATGCAACAAATGACTTCTCATGAGGTTGAACTAAAAATTGAACAAATACCTACTATTCTGTTTCTAAAGAATTATCAAGTTGTAATAAAAAGGGATCCTGAGATTCTGAAAACGAGCTCCACTGTGAGCTCTTCGTTTGGCTTTGTGCAAGACAGTCATCTCTCTGAGCCTCAGTTATGTTCTGTGCAAAGTTAAAGACTCGAACCAGAGAGCCTTTGGGACCACTCTTGCGCTGAGTGTCCTTCTCCCATCTGACCAGCATTCATCTGAACACAACCTTACACAAGGTAACACCACCACAACCATAGTATCAGCTTTGCTCAGGTCTTCTCTATACAAGAAAATGAAGATTACTTGGTCATATTTCTTGCTAAGAAATCCTTCCTACAGATCTCCCCCATTCCTGGAAAATGGTTGATCCTCTGAAAAATAAAAAGGTAAACATTAACATCTATTGAATCAATGAATATGCTCTTTTATACTGTAACACAGTTAAATATATCCTTTGAGATTTATTGTCGAATAAATTAGAAATTATTAATATAAAGGATTTTAAATTAAATAGTTAACAATTAACTTGTGAAATTAAAGAGTATGATAATGAGAATAAAATTGTAAAATTGTAAAGAAATCTAGAAAAGACTTTACAAAGATAATAAAGTTTTAATGTTCTGTGTTGGACAAATGGCAATTCAATATCCAAACAGCTTTTGGAATACTAGACACAAACACAGACATTGATAACATGGGACTTAAAATATTTGCTCCATCTATTCTACTTTGCATTCTCCAAATCTAAAGTAATAAGGAGGAGGGGATGGGGAGGAGGGAGATGAAGAGGATGTGGAAGTAGGAGGAGGACGGGGAAAAGGAGGGGGAAGGGTTTGGGATGGGGAAGAGGGGAGATGGGGAGGAAGAGAAAGAAGAGGGGATTATGGAGGAGGAAATGGAGAGGAGGTGGAGGAAAGAGGGAGGAGTGTAAGGAAGAGGGGATTAGAGAGGAGGAGGGAATGGTGAGGGGCGCGAGGAATAAGGTGGGAAGGAAGAGGGAGGGAGAGAGAGGGAGGGTAAACAGCAAACGCCAATTGTCTCAGATTCATTGTAGGCTTTCCTATTTGCTTTTCATTTCTTCTAAACACTTTTGCATTGCACTATAGAGATAGAAGCCAGAGGCACGTAGTGATACTACGTCTTTGTCCATCCTACACAATCCATTCCCTGTCACTCATCTTAAGGTGTAACTCTCTAAAGCATCATCTTAGACAGAATTCTTTCCTATGGACACTTCTTTAAAGAAATCAGCAAAGGTTAAGTGTGGACGTGATGCAGCCTTCGTGCAAAGAGTCAGCACAACTGGCTTAGCAACAAGACAGGCTGCCCAGGTAACTCAGAACTGAAATCTAATATGTCAACAGATTATGAAGCTAAATAAAGAAAATCAGGATGCAACTGGTGTGATGTCCCCCCTGACAGTAACTGCTGGTGACTAATTCCCACCTGGTAGTTCTGTAGCTCTGTGATCTTCTCCTGCTGAACGGCAGCATCACACCATATAAGATTACTTGTTTCATCTTCATCTGGAGTTTTTATAAATCCCATTTCATCTATCACTAAACGAACTGAAAGGAAATGGTTAAATAAAGGAGAGTTAAAACTTTTAAGACATTCATTGTGGAAACATACTTACAGTTATCCACAGTATTCCATCTGTAAACGACCCACTACTTACAGCATAAGCTCATATTAGTGACTGCAGTTTTATCTAGGACCAAATTATTCTCCACAGTAGCTGGGAACTGAATTAGATTGCACCAAAATTCCTCAGTTATAGTCCTCTCAGATTTAGCAAAAACACAGTCCTTTCAGGGGGGTTAGGAAGTGACTTTGGTACCATGAAAACACACAGACACCTGAGGTAACTCTACACAGGGACATTCACTCTCGTGGCTTCTCCATGACCTGGAACTAGGTATAAAACTGGAAAGGTAAAAATATCCTTGACCATCGGATCTCTTGTGAGCCTTTTGCCTTTCCAGTTCAAGTTACTTTTACCACTCAAAACCAAGTCAGCTCTGTTTACTCAGAGTACGAAACAGTGAAGCCAGATTCACTGGGAGGATTCAGAGATGGGCTCTCCATGGCTCCCTACTCTGAGATCCCACTGAAAAAATGTACTCTTGGGGTTTCCCTTCAACCACAGACCATGCTGCTCCTCCTCAACCTGGACGTTACAGTTAACATACTGGTGTTTTTCTTTCAACAGGTCCTGAGTTTGAAATTAAGGTGAGTCATATGGCTGGGGTAATCTTTGAGTTCCAGTGACTTCTGAGTCCTGAAAGAACAGTGTCCGCATGGCAATGCTTCAGAGCCCATTTTTAATGATTTCTTTCTTTCTTTCTTTCTTTCTTTCTTTCTTTCTTTCTTTCTTTCTTTATTTATTTATTTATTTATTTATTTATTTATTTATTTATTTTTGTATAGTTGAAACTTTTTTTAAGAATTTTTTAATTCATTTTACCTACCAACCACAGACGCCTCTCATCCCTCCTCTCGCTTCCCTCCAGCCTTCTACCCCCACCTACCCCCTCTATCCCCTCCTCCATGGGGAGTCAGCAGAGCCTGGTATATTCAGTTGAGGCAGGACCAAGCCCCTCCCCCCTGTATCAAGGCTGAGCAAGGCATCCCACCATAGAGAATGGGCTCCAGAAAGCTAGCTCATACATAAGGGATGGATACTGATCCCACTGCCAGAGGCCCCTCAAATTTTCTTTATACCATGCTCCACTAATATATGAGAAGTGACATGAATTGTCTGGCTGACTTAGCTCAGGTGCAAAACTGATAACCAGGAACAGCTGGCCTCAAATCCTATGGGCTCCTGGCCGTTTGCTGGAGGAAGAACTGGCTTTATCTTCAATGATGCCTGGGATACAGGGACACCTGAAGAGGCCCTGGAACCATCTAAATGAGGCCAGAGAGCTGCTTTCAAGGGCATCAGAATGAAGTTTGGAGTTTAACTGATATCTTGTGTCACAAGACTTGAGGAGAGCGCCATGCTCCACTGTCACAGACCATGCCTTCAAGGATGGCCTCCCTCTGGGCTCTGCTGCTGCTGCGCCATTTGGACACATATAGAAAGTGAGAACAGTAGCAACAGGCCCTTAGAGATTCTTCTAATGGGCTAAAGGCAGAAAACAGAAACGGGGGCAGAATGCCTGCCTGAGACCAGATTTACTCAGGAGAAACACAGACACATCCTCTGAGCTTCAGACATTACTGTCAAGACCCTGATGATACCACAAGGTGAACTGGCAGTGATGGAGGCAGCTCAGCTGGCTACTTAAGTCTTGGATCTTCATGTACTCACATACCAGTGAGGCCAGATGCTTTCAGATTACATAAGAACAGTTGAAAAGATCCACTCTATATTCACAAATCTTCATAAGATCAGGCAGGTATAAATCATTTTTATGATGAATTTCAAAACTCAGATAGCTGACAATGTTGAACATTACCAAAAAATTCAATGTTGGGTATAAACCTACACATTTTTTTCAGCTAAGCTAATTGAATGCATTATTTTTGTTCAAACTGAAAATTTAGAAATCAATTAGCATCTTTTTAAAGCAGATCATCCTCCACTGCATAGGAAAAGAATTCTTCTAACCTGTCAGCAGTTTTATAGAAGTAATTTAGAAATCCATTACATAAAAGATAATCATCTCTCCAAACTCTACACTGTTTTCAATGCCAAGGCAGTCTTTCCAACAATCATGAAAAGTGCAGTATTCTGAAGACACTCACCAATTTCAAACTTTGTCCCAGCAACATTTGCTGTAATGACTCCCTTCTTTTTCTTTTTTCTGACTTTCCTTTTCATTGTGCATTGATAAGGTAACTCTGTATTCAGCTCCAGGGCAGAGGATCCCTGAATAACTTTAAAAAGAAATATAAACAGTTATCCCTAAAATTAAAAACAATGTGACCAGAAACATTCATGCCTCCCCCAGCAAGGAAAAAAAAACTATGAATGGTGACATTTTCAAACCTTGAATATCATGTATTCTAAACACCCCCATAGCTTGTAGTATGGTTAGCCAATCCACTTACCCCCTTCTTGAGGCAGAGATGGCATGGTCACCTTTGCCAAATGAGCAAGAAACGTGTGTACAGTACCAAGTTCTCAGTAAATCTGAAAATCCCACGTTCATCTAAGTAGGATATGGCCCCAACTCACAGGAAGTTCATATCATATTATCTGGGTCAAAGTCTCAGATTTCACGGCACAAGTTTTGGGCTAGGAAGCTACCTGGAGAGGTTTTAAAACAAAGTTATTAAAGACACAACATCATGGTATTTCTCTTGCAAATGTCATTCTTGTTAGAAACCACATAATAACAAAAGTCAATTTCTTCCATCAAAACAGTATGTGTTCATCAATTATTAACCATATACAAAATGCCAACTTATGGTTTTCTTGAAATACACAGTCTAAATAGGGTTTTGTTTTATTTTATCCATAGACTCTTAATATACAAATTACACATAGAAATTTAAAAAATACAAAATTCATTGCTGTCTAATAAACACTAAGAATCTTGAGATTTATAATAAACAGCTTAGCCTTTAAGCAAGCCTGAGAGAGAGCTTTTTCTCCCCAAGTTCCAGAATAGTTAACTGAGCTCAGAAAGGGCAAATAACTTTTCTCCTTACAAAGAGAGTAAGAGGTAAAGTGGAGACTAAAAAGAATTGTGTCAAAGCCGAAGTCCCTGCGCCAGGAACCCAAACAATCTTCAATGCAATTCTCCACCTGTCACTGGGACGATACTTCTAACATGAGGGAGTGAAACAGCCATGAGGGTAGGTGGCTGCTCACAGAATGAATGTGGGCAGTGATTCATTCTCACAGGGGTAGGGAGGAATGGCTTTCTAAAGCACAGGGAACCATGCCTTAAGACACAGGAACACGTTTGAGTGGCACAAAATAGGAAGGGTCATTACCAGGAGGATCTTATTTAAACACATAGAGGGACACCATGTTCTCTACAGGAATGAACTATCTTGGTTCAGCCACATCGACAGGACCCACAGTATGCTCTGTGGGCACTTGCAGTGTCTGCGGAAGAATTAAGGCATCCAGGTCCTAAGTATACTGACTAGCTCACACTTGTCAACTCTCTGACTTCTGTCTTCCTGTAGTTCTTATAAAATGTCTCTAGTCATAATGGGAAAACATCAAAACTTTAATGCTAAACAAAGGGATGACATGGGAACTTGCACCAGATTATCACCCTTTTTAGAAATCCTGCCATATTAAAGTTGATTCATTCAGCCATCATCCCTAATATGCATTATTAATAATAAGATCATTAAAGGACATTTACAGCTTTATTTATTCTCTGGTATCATTTTAATGCAAACAAGTCTCCAGTATGATTCACTATAAAACTAGTAACGTATTATTTATTAGAGACTCACAGTGGGTAGGCTGTGTGTTAAATGTTGACAGCAAGAAGCCCTGTTAGCAAGCTTTGAACTTCAGTTCATTTCCCCACAACTTCTAGACATAGAAACTATGGTTTAAAATTGAAAAGCAAGCGTTTTGATTCAGTTCTACCTAAGTGGGTATCTCATCCATCCAGCTCTACTATTTTTAGACATCACAGTAACACTACACAGACATATAAGGATCTTGCCAGGCTAATTTGGTACTCAGTAAGACGGGCTGTATTCTGGAAATTCACAACACTTCAAACCAGACAGAGAACTCACAAAAAAACATCTCTAAACTGATCTCCCAGATCCCAGTTCCAGCTGGAAATGGACTAGGTCACCACTCAGCAGGAAGAAAGGAGTGGCCTGAAGGTCAGTTCCCTTCTGTTCAGAAGCTCTGTGATGCTCAAAGAGGAGACTGTGTTTGGGATTTCATGACGGACGCCTTGTTTCTAGAGTAAACAAAGATCCCTTTACAGTAACACCTCCCTAACCTATTAGAAGTCAGTGACAAAGTCAGTAAGAGTTTGAAAACTGCTTTCAGGAGTATATCAGGCTCCAAAAACAGACCTGTCAATTTCTGAACTTAAGTTATGAAACAAGTTTAAAGTGCAGAATAAAAATGGTTCACTAGCCACACAGGAATCTGAAGTGTTTAAAATGCTCCTAGTCGTTATATACAGGCTCTACTCCACCCCACTTGTGATTTGGTGGAACTGCCTAACAAACTTCAAGGACTTGATTGTATCCCCCTAGTTCTAATTAAATTTATTTTAGGCAAGGAATTTGAGAAAACACACTTAAACACCTCGCAGGTAAGCTACTGTTATCTGTGCTCCAGAAGCTAGGGAATACTTGAAGCCAAAGGTTTCTCACCAGAAATCAGAACAGTCCAAACATCAATGCCCGAGAACTCCTCCCAGCTCTTCTTCTCAAATCTCTACCAATCACTTTAAAACCTAGGTTTAAAAATATATATACAGGTTAACAAAAAATGTAAAATAACACAATGGTGATGCCAATCTAATAGTTTACTGAAACCCCCCAAAGTGATTCAGTTTCCCACTAATCTAGAGCCAATCTCCTTGCTACTCAAGCATTTCCTGGGCACTTACTGAATAACAAGTATGTAACGCAAAGTTCCAAAATGTTTATTCTAGTCAGAATTTCATCTTCCAAAATGATAAATAACATGTTTATGTACACACACACACACACACACACACACACACACACACACACACACACACACACAAAAACCCTTGGTAAAAAGCTACTTCAGTCTTTGATCATGCATGAGGGATTCATTCCTCAATCTTCTGGTCTATCATGGGGATATTTATTGGTATCTCATCAAGACCACCCATCTAGAGGGTGAGTTTCCCAAAGAAGGTGGTTTTCTTCAGTCTTGCTCACCACTTCATTCCCAGGACCAGAGCCTGGCAGTGCTCAGTTGACACGGGTTACTAAGTTAATGGTACTATGATTTGGAGAAACTTGATTCTTGGTGTAACGCTGTGAAAGAGTGGGGCTTGAGGAGTTGAGTAGGTCATAAAGTTTTCTCTCATGCACAAAGCTTCATACAGCGTGTGACCCTTTTTGCTCAAGTGAATGTATTAGGGGACTTTGATTTCTATCGATTACTTCAAAAGGCTATTAAGTGTGTGTTAACTCATGATAATGTTAGTCATCTTTGGTGTGTGGAGGAGCTCTGGTGTGTGGAGGAGCTCAGGTGTGTGGAGGAGCTCAGGTATGTGGAGGAGCTCAGGTGTGTGGAGGAGCTCAGGTGTGTGGAGGAGCTCAGGCATGGAGGAGCTCAGGTATGTGGAGGAGCTCAGGCATGGAGAAGCTTAGGTATGTGGAGGAGCTCAGGTATGTGGAGGAGCTCAGGCATGGAGGAGCTCAGGTATGTGGAGGAGCTCAGGTGTGAGGAGGAGCTCAGGCATGGAGAAGCTTAGGTATGTGGAGGAGCTCAGGTGTGAGGAGGAGTTCAGGTGTGTGGAGGAGCTCAGGCATGGAGAAGCTCAGGTATGTGGAGGAGCTCAGGTGTAAGGAGGATCTCAGGTGTGTGGAGGAGCTCAGGCATGGAGAAGCTTAGGTATGTGGAGGAGCTCAGGTGTGAGGAGGAGCTCAGGTGTGTGGAGGAGTTCAGGTGTGTGGAGGAGCTCAGGTGTGTGGAGGAGCTCAGGCATGGAGGAGCTCAGGTATGTGGAGGAGCTCAGGTGTGAGGAGGAGCTCAGGCATGGAGAAGCTTAGGTATGTGGAGGAGCTCAGGTGTGAGGAGGAGTTCAGGTGTGTGGAGGAGCTCAGGCATGGAGAAGCTCAGGTATGTGGAGGAGCTCAGGTGTAAGGAGGATCTCAGGTGTGTGGAGGAGCTCAGGCATGGAGAAGCTTAGGTATGTGGAGGAGCTCAGGTGTGAGGAGGAGCTCAGGTGTGTGGAGGAGTTCAGGTGTGTGGAGGAGCTCAGGCATGGAGAAGCTCAGGTATGTGGAGGAGCTCAGGTGTAAGGAGGAGCTCAGGTGTGTGGAGGAGCTCAGGCATGGAGAAGCTCAGGTATGTGGAGGAGCTCAGGTGTAAGGAGGAGCTCAGGTGTGTGGAGGAGCTCAGGTGTGTGGAGGAGCTCAGGTGTGTGGAGGAGCTCAGGTATGTGGAGGAGCTCAGGTATGTGGAGGAGCTCAGGCATGGAGGAGCTCAGGTGTGTGGAGGAGCTCAGGTATGTGGAGGAGCTCAGGCATGGAGGAGCTCAGGTGTGTGGAGGAGCTCAGGTATGTGGAGGAGCTCAGGCATGGAGGAGCTCAGGCATGGAGGAGCTCAGGCATGGAGGAGCTCAGGTATGTGGAGGAGTTTAGGTGTGTGGAGGAGCTCAGGTATGTGGAGGAGCTCAGGTATGTGGAGGAGCTCAGGTATGTGGAGGAGCTCAGGTGTGTGGAGGAGCTCAGGTATGTGGAGGAGTTCAGGTGTGTGGAGGAGCTCAGGTGTGTGGAGGAGCTCAGGTATGTGGAGGACCTCAGGTATGTGGAGGAGATCAGGCATGGAGGAGCTCAGGTATGTGGAGGAGTTCAGGTGTGAGGAGGAGCTCGGGTGTGTGGAGGAGCTCAGGTGTGTGGAGGAGCTCAGGTGTGAGGAGAAGCTCAGGTGTGTGGAGGAGCTCAAGTGTGTGGAGGAGCTCAGGTGTGTGGAGGAGCTCAGGTGTGTGGAGGAGCTCAGGTGTGCGGAGGAGCTCAGGTGTGTAGAAGAGCTCAGGTGTGAGGAGAAGCTCAGGTGTGTGGAGGAGCTCAGTTGCTCACTCAGGTGTTGGCTTCTATGTCTTCCTTCCTCCCAAAAGGCATCAGACTTTTGGTGTTTATCCTTCCCATGCTGTTCTTAATACATTTTTCTTATGCACTAGTTTTTATACAATATTTGAGTGTGTGTAATTTGTATAATTTTAAACTATGTAAATAATATACTATGTATATTCTTGGGCTGTTTTCTAAAATTTGAACTTTTGTGTAACTCATTCAGTTCCAGTTCATTTCTTTTCATTAAGAAGTACCACAATGGAAATCACCCTTGAAGCTTAGGCAAGATCTTACTTCAATAGCAATGTAAAGCCATGGAAGGACTTCCCATAGGTTACACCAGCTGTGTAAAGGAAGCAAGAGAAACAGTGTAAGAAGATATTTTGAAGGTTCATGACAAGGAAATGAAAGCTTGGCCACAGACAGCATCACAGCTACAGTAGTTAGGCTTGGTGATCAAAAAGAAGTGGTTATCTCTAAAGACCTCAAGACACCTGTTTAGAGAATCGGGAAGGAGCTGGCATCATGCATCAAAAGCAGAAAGAAAATCCAATCCCAGGAGTTAAGTGCTTTCAGTTAATAATGGCAGAAAAATGTGGACCAGAAATAAATAAAACTCATAACTGAAGGTAAGACAAGAAACACCTCTACTTTGGTACAGAACATGCTTTAATTAAACACAGAACAAGCTGGAGAAGTGGCTCACTAGTTAAGCTGCTTACTGCTCTTGCAGAGGACCCAGGTTTGGTTCCCAAAGCCCACATAGCTGCTGCCAACTTTCTCTAATTCCAGATCCAGGAAGATCCAATACAATTGTTTGGTCCCTGCAGACACTGCACACAAGTGATGCATAGGAATGCATGCAGGCAGAAACCCTCATACACATAAAATAAAAATAAATCTCTTTTTTAAAAAACACAAAAGATTCCTTCCACAGTCTTACTGATCCGATTTCTCTGTTTCTGCCAAAAAGTGACAATACATACAGCTGTATAACCGGTGAACAACAGATGACGTCACCCTAACTGTTCTCCTAACAATAGTGTATTGACCCTCTTCATTGGAGAAGCTACTTGCTTCCTAAACATAAGAACTTTTGTGTCCCATTCCTAGGCTGGCTATCCTCCCCGAACCTAGAGCTGGCTATGCAGAATGTTATAGACCTGAAAGAACCATTTGATCAGACACTTCTAAAAAGCCAGGAGGAGCCCAGTGTGAGTAAACCAAAGAATCAAAGAACCATTTATTCAAGCTGGCAACAGAACTAACATTGACCTTGGGCAATAGTAGCTCCACTGATTTACTATTATTTGCTTTTCAGATTTCCATAGCTTGCTTGGTATCTGCTCATCGTTTGTGACTAAATGGCATCACCCAAATGCAATATCTACAAAGGTCTGCAGAGGATCTCATCCTTATAATTTAGCCTACTGTGATATGAGTAAAATGTAGGCCTGTTAAGACAGCATACCTTGAAGGCATCTTCCCTTATTAATATTTATACTTCCACTATGTGACACAATAAAAAAACACAAATCTCATTCAGCAAGTGCAGAATTGAATAAAGCTCAAATCAAATAACAAAGTTATTAAAGTAACAGAAGACAACGTTATTTCATAATGTATTAAATGCTTAAATAGAGTCCAAAGCGCCTCTGGACATGTTCCCCAAGAATATAATATTGTGTTCTAAATAGCTCTCAAACCACCCTAAAGGGGAGAGAAAGACATTTCACCTGCTCTTTAGGAATAACATATGATACCAATAAAGATGTGCATATCTCACTCACCTGTGTCTATCCATTTACATGTGCTCATGGTGCGCGCGCACCACACACACATACACACACACGCACGCACGCACGCACGCACGCACACACGCACACACGCACACACGCACACAATTAAGAATCTAAGGCATCCTCAAAACACCAGCCTACACTTCGCTACATACAGAACTCTTGTTCTGAGATACTCGGGTAGGACTGAGTGCCCTTTGCACACAGCTCTTGCAGCCCAGGAACCTGCATCAAAAGGTGAAACAGAAATCCAGAGGGAAGTGGAGAATTTCTAAAACAGCCAGTTCTCTGTTCTTTATCAGAAAGGTCACAATGGATATCAACCTGTGCGTCTGCCTCACTGATGAGCAGCTAACATCCCAGTGGGGGTCATGTGATGCCAGCATAGTTCTCTACATCCAAAACTTAACTCTTCAACATTGCCCATAAACCTGGTGGTTCCTCTGACACTCCTTGGCTTGATAAAGTGTAATGGCATAGCCAAACATCAAAAAGATACAACAAAATCCTCCTTAATTTTCCATTTGAATTTTTTGTTTGATATTTATTCCAATCACATGCATCACCAATTCCAGGGTATATATTAGTTTAATGCTTATTTTCCTATCCATGTTTATGAATTATTAAATATTAAATGTATTAAATTCATTAAAATACTAATCATGATACTACATAACTGTAATCCAGAAGACTGAAGCAGGAGAATATTGAATTCAAGGCCAATCTTGGCTGCATTGTAAGACCTTGTTTTTTTTTTTTTTTTTGGTTTTTTGAGACAGGGTTTCTCTGTGTAGCTTTGTGCCTTTCCTGGATCTCGCGCTGTAGACCAGGCTGGCCTCGAACTGATTTTTTTTTTTTAAGTCAGATGGCTAAGGAAG